CATATCAGAGAGAGAGAGAGAGAGAGAGAGAGAGAGAGAGAGAGAGAGAGAGAGATTTTAATGATTTATGGGAACTCGAAACCAAAAATAAGCAAGAAACCAATAACCGGTATCAATTATAATGATGTTTTTTACAAAAAAAATCAAATTCAAATTATATTCAAAATAATACTTTTAAAAAGTCACATATAGGACCTACATTAGTTTGTACTGATAGGCACTATATCATAGGGCATAATAGATTTCAATTGTTTCCCAGAATGAATATAATCTTTGTTATTGTATACAATCTTTGTTATGGTAAAATCTTAAACCATCCAAACATATTAAGAGACGAATAATGCTTCAATTTAAATATATCCCAATAACTCACAGATATAGGATTTTCCATCAGTTCCACATAGCCACTGAATACTTGGACACCCATTGTAGTCACAAACCCCAAATCCAGGATATTTTGTGGTATGAGTTGGTACAGTGGTAGTAGTAGTAGTTGTAGTTGTTGAAGGAGTAGTTGTGGTCACTGTTGTGGGTACTGGAGTGGTCTTTAAACAACGCCCATAACGTTCAATCTTAACATTACTGCCACTACGGCAATTAACATGGTCCAAATGATTTGCACCTTGAATGGAACATTTGAATCCAAACAGGATGACAACTCACATATTTTAAACACTTCATTCACTCCAATATCTATATATTTTCAAGATATGATTGTAATTAGTTTATAATGAAAATAAACTGGGTATATCATGAAATAAATTCTATTTGCTTTTTAAAAAAATTTATTCCAGGCCTGTCACCTTTCTACTGGGTAATTACCCATTGTTTTGTGCAATATAATGAGTCAGTTAAGTTTGACATATTAGATTTACTACAAGAAGTTTACATTCCATCCATCATATTCACAAGCACTTAAATAAATTAATGACTTTTTAATCTTTTTTTTTATTATTAAACATGTTCTAGCTTAAAGAATCAAAATCACATTGCTTAAATATGTGAATAAGTCTGAACTGTTTATCATTAATGCCCTTTGTAAGCTTAATTGTTACACTGTTAATTTACTACCATACATTAATTGATAATACTCACAAAGGTATGTCTTGCCATCAGTACCACACACATACTGTTTAGAGCCACAGCCACCATACACACATTTTGGTGTTGTTGAAGGTTTAGTAGTTGTGGTTATTTTCATTGTGGTACTGGTAGTTGGCGGTACTGTTGTGGATGTTGGTTCTGTGGTGATTGCTACTGTGGTTGTTGGTTCTGCGGTGGTTGGCACTGTGGTGGTTGGCACTGTGGTTGTTGGTACTGTGGTTGTTGGTACTGTGGTTGTTGGTTCTGTGGTTGTTGGTACTGTGGTTGTTGGTACTGTGGTTGTTGGTACTGTGGTGGTTGGTTCTGTGGTGGTTGGTACTGTGGTGGTTGTTACTGTGGTTGTTGGTACTGTGGTTGTTGGTTCCGTGGTGGTTGGTACTGTGGTTGTTGGTTTTGTGGTGGTTGGTACTGTTGTTGTTGTTGTTGTTGGTACTGTGGTTGTTGGTTCAGCAGTGGTAGTTGGCTTCGTAGTTGTGGTTGGTTTTATTGTAGTTGTTTTCACTGTAGTAGTGGTAAATTGAGAACACTCTCCATCACCAATCTTTGACAATGTCTGTCCTTTTCCATTAAAGATGCAAACAGCAATTTCCAGTTCACAGTCATTTCCTGAAATTGTAACAAGTACATTTTAATCTTAGTAACAAAAACAATTCATTGTTGAAAACCATCGTCAAAATTCAAACAAGATAATATGAAATGCAAAGTACACTAAAAAACATTTGCTAGCTTTTGCCAATTCTTCATTGATATAATGAGGTACAGACCCTAGCTACAGCAAGAAAAAATCCACTATGCACAGATAAATAAGGAATATAGTGAAGGTTAAAAGTCTGTCCCATTAACTTACCATATGTCATCATATCAGAGCCACATACTGGTATATATTCCTCCGGACAAAGCTTACTAATACAGGCCTGCTGGCCAAGCACAAAAGACACTGGAAAGTGAGAGTAATTAAGGCCAATAATATGCATTGCAAGTCATATTGGGTTTGCAGATTTCATCTATATTTGGCATGGTAAAAATGAAAGAATAACTGAAGTTTGTCATGTCATTTTTAGTAATATTTACTTAGATATGATGACATGATGATCGAGCCCTAGAAGTGGTCAATCCAAAAATACAATGCCAAATAATTGAGCTGCAATCCTTTAACCTGTCATCTCTCCTTTTTTTTTAACAAAACTGGTTTCTTTGACATAATTATAAAATGTATACTAAACCTAATATATACTTACCTAAGAGACATGCCAAAAATGCTGTAAACACACCCATCATTTAGTTTCTTGTAATTCAAATAATGATATCCCTGGTGGTCAAGCCCCCCTGACACAGCCACAGCTGAAGTAAAATGTGAAGGACAAGTGTGGGAAAATAACATATGGGGGGCATCTTATCTTACCAAGTCCTCATACATGATCTGTCCCAGACTCCACACATACAGCTGTACACCAATTAGACACAAAAACCAGGGGGTATTTGGCCTTCTGATTTACCAGAAGATGGGGCAGGGTCACAGCTTTCATAACCCTTCTTCCATTTGTAAAGATATGGCGAAACACATATACATGTACATGTGCATGTGTGATAAAAAATTATCAGCAAATGAAATAAATGTGTAAAGAATTTTTAGGTGGTACAATTTAATTGTTTTATCCAAATATGGAGGATCTGCAGATACTTTCACATTGTTCCACTGATATGTTTAACCAATTGAGAAACTGTCTTTCAGTTTCATTTGCTTACATGCTCTTAGGCTAAAACTTTTAAGTGGAGAAGTGATTCCAAGAAAATGTGCAAATTTTTCAACAATGGTCAATTGGCATTGCAAAGACAATTTGTTCTTCTGTCAACTTGGTGTCACATTTACAACAATCTTAGTTAAATTTAAAAGTACAAAATAAATCTAAGTAAATAAAAATCCAATTTGGTATTATAAAGACAATTACGGCTGTACTTACTGTCGTAAAACAATATTTTACTATAGGAAAAAAATCTTGACTCAATGATTAATACTTATGATCAAAGAATATATCCAATCCAATCTTTTCAGTGGGCAAAAATTATCAAACTTTCAGATACATAATTTTATAATTACAAAAATTATATTTCTGTAAAGCATTTGTGTGCTTTTACTGCATAAAAAAGAACTAATTTGTTGCTTCCATTCAATAAGAAATATCTCATTTAAAGAAGTTCGTTTCTTACTTTAAAATTAAAGTACCTGTAAAATTCATGATTTTTCCTCATAGAAAAGATGTGTTTAACTTATATGATGGTAAGAAAAATAATTCTTTACAATGTGTAAGATATACAAGATAAAAATGGTGTTTTATTCCAACTAGCAGTATTGATTAATTTACTATGGGTAAAAATGTGGGGACAGATCCAGCAATCCAAGCTGACAGACTTCAGTCCAGGGCTGACAATCTTAAATAGTCAATTTAAAAATAAAAACTTAATTTTATATTTCAAAGAGTCTTTCAAGATAAATCAGACCGTCTTCATGCATAGCAACAAAATCCACCCTTAAAAGATATCATATGTGGTGCAGCTATTTATGTGTAAAACAAACACTCATGTTTTTATAACTGAACACCACCATCATATAAACAGTTAATTTTATTTCAATATCAAAGCAGTGATTATAAAACAGAAATGGCAGTGTTTTAGACCATATATTATCCCACAACAGGACTTCCATTGCACTCTACCTCACGAGGAGGTGTGAGCCCCTGACTCTGATAGCGACAGATCTCCCAGTGCAGAGCACATTGACTGCCTGAAAAAGATTAGAAATCTCAACATTAGTATATAATATAAACTTTGTCTACACTTATATATATATATACATAGTATTTATTTTGTGGGTAATATTGAATCCTGTCCCTAATTAATATTAGTATATGTATTTTGCATTTTATACCTTTTAAAAATGAAGAGATACAAATATTATTCTACACTTTAAAACATTTATCATCATTTTCAGAAAATATAGCAACTAAAACAAAAGTGTACAAAATCAAGATTTTACTTAATCTTATGATTGAATAAAAACATTTACAGTTTTTTTGAATCATGATGAGCATACATATAAATCAGTATATCAACACACATGCCAAAATACTTTGTAGCTATACTCATAACACAATACATTTACCATAGATTTTTCCTCTGTTATCACAGTGCTCTCTGGGAGACAAGGAGCAGCGAGCACTGCAAGGAAAGGCCACAGATGGTGTGCTCATTGCCAGTGGAGACACAGTGGTTGTCAGACATCTTTGAATGTTGGCTACATACACACTTGTCTTGTTACGACACTTCTGGTGCTTAAAGTTAGACAAACCTACAAATGTGATTAAATGATAGAAAGTAAAGTTCATGGAAATTATAGTGCCAAAAAGGATAATCATTCTACAGCAATAATAACCAGCTAGTAAAAAAAAAGTAAATTTTGTCTGCTTTACAGGCTAAAATAATTATTGTATAAGCACACTACTCCATGCCCCAGTAAATTTGTCTTTGACCAACTGCTTACAAAAAAGTAACATGCACTGTATCTTACACTGGTATATCTTTCCATCAGAGCCACAGACAGCTGAATCACTGACAGCACAATCAGGGGAGGGGCAGCATCGGCCACGGTAGGCCACACCCACAGCAGTATAATTTACACAGTTTGTGTATTCTATCTTTTCTTTACCTGGAAGGTTTAAACAAAATAGTGTATAAATCTGTTTTAAAATTATGCCATATCAGTAATAATTATTCAGACCTAGGCAAATACAACATATGTGATGGAATTTTACAAACGTTGCAATTTTTAATAATTAAACACACAAAACTTACAAAGACAAATTATTTAGCCAATAAGTAAATAAATAATCTGAGTAAACAAACAAAATAATGGCATTTTAAACCATCCAACATTAAAATGAAAACCACAATTAAAACTGTGTTACAGACAAAATAGTAACATAAGTAAAATGTCTCACACTTGTAAGTTTTTCCATCAGTACCACACACTTTAGTAGAGCCATCTGGACAACGAGCCCTGGGACAGAGTTTGGCTGTAGTAGTTGGTGCGGTCGTTGTCCTTCTTGCACAGCGACCATCGTGAGCAACAGTCACAGCACTGCCTTCTAAACAACTCACATAAACCAGGTAGTTAGCACCTAACATGATAATGATTAATGTACTACAATTGGTTGAACACACTTTGCATAACATGAAATATTTGAACTATAGCAAGTCTAGTCTTAGAATTGAACAGATATTTTAATGGATTGTGTATGTATTTGAAGTTTAATAACATATGTTATGGTAGAAATGATTTTAAATACCTACATTGATAATTTGACTACTTTTTTTACATAAAACTGCATTATATAAGTAGATGTACTACACTAACACTCTTCCGTGTTGCCATACAATTCTAATTAAATCAGAAAACTCAATCTCTCATTTGACCTAGCTTTTGGAAATAATACTTACAGATATAGCTATTTCCATCAGTTCCACAAACATAATCTAGGTCCCGACAGCCGTAAAATGTACATTTATTTGCTGGTTTCATCGTAGACTTCTCTGTTGTGGAGGGTTTTTCTGTTGTAGTGGGTTTTTCTGTTGTGGTAGGGATTTGTGTTGTGGAAAGGATAGTTGTGGTTGTTAGGACTGGTGTGGTAGTGGTTGGTTCTTGGGTGGTTGTTGGTTCAGGTGTTGTTGGTTTTGTNAGTGAAAAAACAGCATAACTTCCCTAAAAATGACTCGATCATGCTGATTTTCGAACTTGACAGGCGTATTATGAATATTCATCAGTTCTGTAAGTTTCAAGCCAAAAGGTAAAACACTTTTTCACTTATCGTGTTATCGGTGCTGCATATCTGCTGAAAAAAAGTGAAAAAAAAAAGCATAACTTCCCTAAAAATGACCTGATCATGCTGATTTTCAAACTTGACCGGCGTATTATGAATATTCATCAGTTTTGTAAGTTTCAAGCCAAAAGGTAACACGTTTTTTCAATTATCGTGTTTACGGTGTTGCATATCTGCTGAAAAAAGTGAAAAAAAAGCATAACTTCCCTAAAAATGACCCAATCATGCTGATTTTCGAACTTAACTGGCGTATTATGAATATTCATCAGTTCTGTAAGTTTCAAGCCAAAAGGTAAAACATTTTTTCACTTATCATGTTTACGGTTAAAGTGCACGCCAATGGGGACGGCGACGGCGACGACAGATGCAGATGACGGCAAAATGTACAGACACATCTGTGTCTGTACATAATAAAAAGTCACATATAGGACCTACATTAGTTTGTACTGATAGGCATTATATCGTAGGACATAATAGATTTCAATTGTTTCCCAGAATGAATACAATCTTTGTTATGGTAAAAAATTTGTTATTGTAAAATCTTAAACCATCCAAACATATTAAGAGACGTATAATGCTTCAATTAAAATATATCCCAATAACTCACAGATATAGGATTTTCCATCAGTTCCACATAGCCACTGAATACTTGGACACCCATTGTAGTCACAAACCCCAAATCCAGGATATTTTGTGGTACGAGTTGGTACAGTGGTAGTAGTAGTTGTTGAAGGAGTAGTTGTGGTCACTGTTGTGGGTACTGGAGTGGTCTTTAAACAACGCCCATAACGTTCAATCTTAACATTACTGCCACTACGGCAATTAACATGGTCCAAATGATTTGCACCTTGAATGGAACATTTGAATCCGAACAGGATGACAACTCACATATTTTAAACACTTCATTCACTCCAATATTTATATATTTTCAAGATATGATTGTAATTAGTTTATAATGAAATATACTGGGTATATCATGAAATAAATTCTATTTGCTTTTTTAAAAAATTTATTCCAGGCCTGTCACCTTTCTACTGGGTAATTATCCATTGTTTTGTGCAATATAATGAATCAGTTAAGTTTGACATATTAGATTTACTACAAGAAGTTTACATTCCATCCATCATATTCACAAGCACTTAAATAAATTAATGACTTTTAAATCTTTTTTTATTATTAAACATGTTCTAGCTTAAAGAATCAAAATCACATTGCTTAAATATGTGAATACGTCTGATTTGTTTATCATTAATGCCCTTTGTAAGCTTAATTGTTACACTGTTAATTTACTACCATACATTAATTGATAATACTCACAAAGGTATGTCTTGCCATCAGTACCACACACATACTGTTTAGAGCCACAGCCACCATACACACATTTTGGTGTTGTTGAAGGTTTTGTAGTTGTGGTTGCTTTCATTGTGGTACTGGTAGTTTGTGGTACTGTTGTGGATGTTGGTTCTGTGGTGATGGCTACTGTGGTTGTTGGTTCTGCAGTGGTTGGTACTGTGCTTGTGGTTGTTGGTACTGTGGTGGTTGGCACTGTGGTTGTTGGTACTGTGGTTGTTGTTACTGTGGTGGTTGGTTCTGTGGTGGTTGGTACTGTGGTTGTTGGTTCTGTGGTTGTTGGTACTGTGGTTGTTGGTTCCGTGGTGGTTGGTACTGTGATTGTTGGTTTTGTGGTGGTTGGTACTGTTGTTGTTGTTGTTGGTACTGTGGTGGTTGGTTCAGCCGTGGTAGTTGGCTTCATAGTTGTGGTTGGTTTTATTGTAGTTGTTTTCACTGTAGTAGTGGTAAATTGAGAACACTCTCCATCACCAATCTTTGACAATGTCTGTCCTTTTCCATTAAAGATGCAAACAGCAATTTCCAGTTCACAGTCATTTCCTAAAATTGTAACAAGTAGATTTTAATCTTAGTAACAAAAATAATTTATTGTTGAAAACCATCGCACAAAATTCAAACAAGATAATATGAAATGCAAAGTACACTGATAACATTTGATAGCTTTTGCCAATTCCTAATTGGGTACAGACCCTAGCTACAGCAAGAAAAAATCTCTTATGCACAGATAAATATGGAATATAGTGAAGGTTAAAAGTCTGTCCCATTAACTTACCATATGTCATCATATCAGAGCCACATACTGGTATATATTCCTCCGGACAAAGCTTACTAATACAGGCCTGCTGGCCAAGCACAGAAGACACTGGAAAGTGAGAGTAATTAAGGTCGATAATATGCATTGAAAGTCACATTAGGTTTGCAGGTTTCAGCTATATTTGGCATGGTAAAAATGAAAGAATAACTGAAGTTTGTCATGTCAGTTTTAGTAATATTTACTTAGATGATGATGATGATCGAGCCCTAGAATTGGTGAATCCAAAACATAAGACAATGCCAAATAATTCAGCTGCAATCCTTTAACCTGTCATCTCTCCTTTAAAAAAAAAAAAAAAACTGGTTTCTTTGACATAATTATAAAATCTATACTAAACCTAATATCTACTTACCTAAGAGGCATGCCAAAAATGCTGTAAATACACCCATCATTTAGTTTCTCGTAATTCAAATAATGATATCCCTGGTGGTCAAGCCCCCCTGACACAGCCACAGCTGAAGTAAAATGTGAAGGACAAGGGTGGGAAAATAACATATGGGGGGCATCTTATCTTGCCAAGTCCTCATACATGATCTGTCCCAGACTCCACACGTACAGCTGTACACCAATTAGAAACAAAAACCAGGGGGTATTTTGCCTTCTGATTTACCAGAAGATGGGGCAGGGTCACAGCTTTCATAACCCTTCTTCCATCTGTAAAGATATGGCAAAACACATATACATGTACATGTGCATGTGTGATAAAAAATTATCAGCAAATGAAATAAATGTGTAAAGAATTTTTAGATGGTACAATTTAATTGTTTTATCCAAATATGGAGGATCTGCAGATACTTTCACATTGTTCCACTGATATGTTTAACCAACTGAGAAACTGTCTTTCAGTTTCATTTGCTTACATGCTCTTGGGCTAAAACTTTTAAGTGGAGAAGTGATTCCAAGAAAATGTGCAAAAATTTCAACAATGGTCAATTGGCATTGCAAAGACAATTTGTTCTTCTGTCAACTTGGTGTCACATTTACAACAATCTTAGTTAAATTAGTTAAAAGTAAAAAGTTAGTTAAAAGTACAAAATAAATCTAAGTAAATAAAAATCCAATTTGGTACTACAAAGGCAATTACGGCTGTTCTTACTTACAATATTTTACTATAGAAAAAAATCTTGTCTCAATGATTAATACTTATGATCATAGAATATACTAACCTAATATACGTACAGTAATTATCCAATCTTTTCAGTGGGCAAAAATTATCAAACTTTCAGATACATAATTTTATAATTACAAAAATTGTATTTCTGTAAAGCATTTGTGTGCTTTTACTGCATAAAAAAGAACTAATTTGTTGCTTCCACTCAATAAGAAATATCTCATTTAAAGAAGTTCATTTCTTACTTTAAAATTAAAGTACCTGTAAAATTCATGATTTTTCCTCATAGAAATTACCATACACAGTAATATTTTTACTTTCAGCTGAGGCACATGTAACTGTATAGTTCAGAGCAACCCTAAGTACCCACATTACGGTTTTGGTGTGGTACCCAGTATTGTTGGTTTGGAAGTTGTTGATTATTTCTATGGAGCTGGGTTTGGCTTTTTACTTAGTTTTTCCATCATACAAACTTCAAAATCTATGGAACTTTGACCTAAATTGATTAAATTTTTAAGCTTTCATTTTGCAAATTGTCATGAAGAAAATATATTTTATTTAACTATAAAAATCTCAAATTACTACTCTGCATCATATGTCATAATTGTTTGGGGATTACCTTACAAATTACACAAACCAGATTTATGAACCATTTACTGATTAAACAAGGAAATTGATTTCATTAAATATTCAAACATGTATTCAAAACAGGTTGAATTACTGGTGTCAAGTGATTTTAATTTACATGTTGACCTGACATTTTGTTATATGTTTTACTCACTGTAGCAGACATCTTTTTGCTTACACTTTTAAGAGACTATGTTAAAAAAGAATATGTTTGGAAAGATGTGTTTAACTTATATGATGGTAAGAAAAATAATTCTTTACAATGTGTTAGATATACAAGATAAAAATAGTGTTTTATTCCAACTAGCAGTATTGATTAATTTACTATGGGTAAAAATGTGGGGACAGATCCAGCAATCCAAGCTGACAGACTTCAGTCCAGGGCTGACAATTTTAAATAGTCAATTTAAAAATAAAATGTTAATTTTATATTTCAAAGAGTCTTTCAAGATAAATCAGACCGTCTTCATGCATAGCAACAAAATCCACCCTTGAAAGATATCATATGTGGTGCAGCTATTTATGTGTAAAACAAACACTCATGTTTTAATAACTGAACACCATCATCATATAAACAGTTAATTTTATTTCAATATCAAAGCAGTGATTATAAAACAGAATTGGCAGTGTTTTAGACCATATTATCCCACAACAGGACTTCCATTGCACTCTACCTCACGAGGAGGTGTGAGCCCCTGACTCTGATAGCGACAGATCTCCCAGTGCAGAGCACATTGACTGCCTGAAAAAGATTAGAAATCTCAACATAAGTATATAATATATACTTTGTCTACACTTATATTAGTCGTATTTATAATAGTATTTATTTTGCGGGTAATATTGAATCCTGTCCCTAATTAATATTAGTACATGTATTTTGCATTCTATACCTTTTAAAAACCAAGAGATACAAATATTATTCAACACTTAAAAATATTTATCATCATTTTCAGAAAATGTAGCAACTAAAACAAAAGCGTACATTATCAAGATTTTACTTAATCTTATGATTGAATAAAAACATTTACAGGTTTTTTTAATCATGATTAGCATACATATAAATCAGTATATCAACACACATGCCAAAATACTTTGTAGCTATACTCATAACACAATACATTTACCATAGATTTTTCCTCTGTTATCACAGTGCTCTCTGGGAGACAAGGAGCAGCGAGCACTGCAAGGAAAGGCCACAGATGGTGTGCTCATTGCCAGTGGAGACACAGTGGTTGTCAGACATCTTTGCATGCTGGCTACATACACACTTGTCTTGTTACGACACTTCTGGTGCTTAAAGTTAGACAAACCTACAAATGTGATTAAATCATAGAAAGTAAAGTTCATGGAAATTATAGTGCCAAAAAGGATAATTATTCTACAGCAATAATAACCAGCTAGTAAAAAGAAAAGATGCCCCCACTAAGTTCTGTCTGCTTCACAGGCTAAAATAATTATTGTATAAGCACACTACTCCATGCCCCAGTAAATTTGTCTGTGACCAACTGCTAACAAAAAAGTAACATGCACTGTATCTTACACTGGTATATCTTTCCATCAGAGCCACAGACAGCCGGATCACTGACAGCACAATCAGGGGAGGGGCAGCATCGGCCTTGATGGGCCACACCCACAGCAGTATAATTTACACAGTTTGTGTATTCTATCTTTTCTTTACCTGGAAGGTTTAAACAAAATAGTGTATTCATCTGTTTTAAAATTATGGCAGATTGGTAATAATTATATTCAGACCTAGGCAAATACAACATATGTGATGGAATTTTACAAATGTTTCAATTTTTAATAATTAAGCACACAAAACTTACAAAGACAAATTATTTAGCCAATAAGTAAATAAATTAATCTGAATAAACAAACAAAATAATGGCATTTCAAACCATCCAACATTAAAATGAAAACTACAATTACAACTGTGTTACAAACACAATAGTAACATAAGTGAAAATGTCTCACACTTGTAAGTTTTTCCATCAGTACCACACACTTTAGTAGAGCCATCTGGACAACGAGCCCTGGGACAGAGTTTGGCTGTAGTAGTTGGTGCGGTCGTTGTCCTTCTTGCACAGCGACCATCGTGAGCAACAGTGACAGCACTACCTTCTAAACAACTCACATAAACCAGGTAGTTAGCACCTAACATGATAATGATCAATGTACCACAATTGGTTGAACACACTTTGCATAACATGAAATATTTGAACTATAGGAAGTCTAGTCTTAGAATTGAACAGATATTTTAATGGATTGTGCATGTATTTGAAGTTTAATAACATATGTTATGGTGGAAATGATTTTAAGTACCGACATTGATAATATGACGACTTTTTTTACATAAAACTGCATTACATAAGTGGATGTACTATACTAACATTCTTCTCTTCCGTGTTGCCACACTATTCTAATTGAATCAGAACACTCAATCTCTCATTTGACCTAGCTTTTGGAAATAATACTTACAGATATAGCTATTTCCATCAGTTCCACAAACATAATCTAGGTCCCGACAGCCGTAAAATGTACATTTATTTGCTGGTTTCATGGTAGACTTCTCTGTTGTGGAGGGTTTTTCTGTTGTAGTGGGGTTTTCTATTGTGGTAGGGATTTGTGTTGTGGAAAGGATAGTTGTGGTTGTTGGGACTAGTGTGGTAGTGGTTGGTTCTTGGGTGGTTATTGGTTCCTGTGTTGTTGGTTTTGGGGGANCTCTGGGGTGGTTAGTTTTGGGGTAGTGATTGTTGGCTCTGGTGTTGTTGGTTCTGGAGTAGTGGTTATTGGCTCTGGTGTTGTTGGTTTTGGGGTAGTGGTTGTTGGCTCAGGGGTGGTTGGTTTTGGGATAGTGGTTGTTGGCTTTGTAGGTGTTTGTTTTGGGGTAGTGGTTGTTGGCTTTGGGGTTGTTGGTTTGGGAGTAGTGGTTGTTGGCTCTGGAGTGGCGAGTTTGGGGGTAGTGGTTGCTAGATCTGTTGGTGATGGTTTTTGGGTAGTAGTTGGTTTAGGAGTTGTTGATTTTGGAGTCGTGGTTGGTTTAGGAGTGGTAGTTAGTTTTATTGTGGTTGTGGTAGGCTGGGTAGTTTTTATAGCATTTATGGTTAATTGTGAGCATTCACCATCTCCAACTTTTGACAATTTGATTCCCTGATTTTGAAACAAACATATGGCAATCTCTAGTTCACAATCATTGCCTGGAAAGGTAAAAGAAGTCTTTTAAAATCTGTGTTAGAAATTCATTTGATAGAAAATGAAAGCTAATGTTTCTCAAATATTCTGACTTAAAGGGACTGTACACTGGTTATTTAAAACAAATAATAGTGCAGAAATTCCCAGCTTACTCAACAATTCTTCAATCAATATTACAAAAGCATTTTTCTTTCTTTTGATTTAGAAGAGCAAAAGTTATATGGTTGCCTTGCAAAAGCTATTTTTGAGTAGAAAAATGTATTTTTATTATTTTATCATATAAATTATACTGTCCCTTTAGACAACAACAAGATCTTCTGTTACTTAAAAACCATGCTTTAATGCAATTTTAATTGAAATGTACCAACAGTAAGACATGTCCAACCAATACTATATTTGATATTGTCCAATTATCACTAAACCTTTATTTTTGTTCATATAGAACAGCACATGTAAAAAATAAATACTGTCTGAAATTGCTATGTCATCTCAACTCTTAAAACTACAAAATATTTATCAAAATGCCACCATTGCCAGAAGTCTAGAGTAGTTGCTCACCTTTCAAACATAACTGATTAATTGTTTTTTTTTTCCAATAAAACAAAGGTCAAAATTTGATCAAAATTTGAAATGGAATATAAGCGATTTTGTGAACAACTAAACGGGATAATTCTTGAAAAATGAAGATTGGATAATTGGCATGTTTTAACTTTGTGAGTAACTATATTGTATAAACTTGTAACCAATAGACTTGCCATATGTTCTCCTATCTGAGCCACAAACAGGAATGTATTCCTCCGGACACAACTTGGAAACACAGCTGTCCTGGGCCCTTACATTAACAACTAGGATGAAGTTAGCATACAAAAATACAACAAACATGCATATAAAAGAATAATAATAAAAATGCTCAACAAAGCAAGGACTTGTGAACTATGTAATAAATAAATCTTACATATATAAAAACATATAATAAAAACAGAGGAAAAATATAATAATGATAACTTTATTTAAAATCATTGCAACCAAAAGGTTGAAGTAGTAAAAAGATGTGAGTTCAAATAAAAAATAAAATATTAACATTAAAATCAAGTTAATTTCAAAATAAACAAAAACCTCTAAAAGTTAGTTAAATACGTAAATGTAATCACATGCAAAAGTAATAATTCAACTTATCCTTGTCAATTTTAATGTTCTCAAAGAAGGAATGCCATAGTACTAAGTGCTGTTTTTCTAAATTGACAAGTTTTGTTTTTACCAGGGCATCAACAATCAGGAAATATAGTGCTGAGTGCCATTGACTGCCAAAAAGAAAAGGGTATTTATACTACACTTTAAGTTCATAGAAAATTTGAGCCCTGCACAGGATGTGTTGATTTCTGACCAGTGTGACAGCCTGCTGATATTGACATTACTGCACCTGTCTCTTAGGCACTCTCTCTCCTAGCCTCTCTCACAGACATTAATATTTCAATACATCAGGGNAAAAAATGAAAAAAAAAAAAAAAAAACTCCAAAATTGTGGCCTCTATTACCATACAATATTTGACCACAAACTCACAAACAATCAGAGCAATACTTGAAATTTTACCTTTTTGAAAATCACTAAAAACAACTTAAAATGTGTAGTACTCAACCTTTTTAGCTTAAAAACAGAAGTGAAACCTCCTTTATGACCAATAAAGCAGGTTTAATAGCAAGCATTATAACAAATGATGTGGAAACCTCTTCAAAATGTTGAAATATTTAAGTTAAGCCAATATAATGATAATTGAAAAATTCTACAGTTATAAAAATATTATGAAAATAACATATAGCAACTTACCTCCAAATGCTACGAAAACACAAACAATAGAAAATGCCATTTCCATTCTTCAAATGCACCAGTCCTCCCACAAACTGGCAGTCTGTAGTACCCTAGCAGAAGTCAAGGTGTGCTCCCACCTGTCAGAGTTTATCTCAGGGCTTAACATCTGTCCAATTGAAGACATGAAGGTTGCATAATTACTTGTGACAAAACCATGTACCGATCATGGTGACCTGAACACTAGCAGCTGTTAAATTTGCATTAGGCTAAAAGATGGACCAAGTTATTTAAAAATTAAAAACAAAATTTAAGTTGAGCTATGGAATATGCCAGAAAACTCCTCTCAAGTAACATATGAGCATGAGATATAGAGTCAGAAAATTTTACACAGATGACATCTGTACCAAATCCAGATATCTTTACAAATGCCATTTCATAAGATATTTCTTATATGGTGTAAATATGTATTAAGTGAATTATGCTTTAAATATATAATTATATTTCTATTTTCTAGTTCTATTTTTTTCTGGCCATTGTGGTGATAGTCTTGCCATTACTTTTTGCCTAAAAAACGTTTTAATGTGACTTTTTGAAAAATGAAAACAATTTTATCAAAAAATGTATATTAATAAAATCAGATGAAGCATCTATATTTCTTTGATAAGATTGCTCACTTGTGTCTGTATACATTCTTCTCATAATTAAAATCAATTGTTACATTTCCTTAACGAATTGATAAAAACAACTCTGCAAAGAGATTCATCCCCAGTATAAGTGTTCCTTATACACCATTTCCGACTGAATTTACACTGATGTGAAATAAAAATGTCAATATTAAAGCATTACATCTATGGAATATCGACAAAATAAGGAGATACCAGCTTGCAATCTTTTTATTTGAAAATTTTTGTCTTTGTATATGAGCATAATTCAGACAAAAAAGAGAAACTGAAGATATAATTCACCATATCTGCCAAACTGTATGGCGATAAAATTCTTTATCCAAAAATTGAGAAATAACAGCGACCTTTTTTCATCACTTTCACATTTGTACCTTCCACACACTTCCAGTATTTCAAAGAATTCTCACCTAGAATAGAACAAAGACACACAATTACAACAAATTAAGACATGAAATTGATTTCACAGATAGTTTCAAGTCAATTATGGTACATAGGGAAACTCTGAATAAAGTTAAACTTACAATAATAATCTCTCCTATCAGTTCCACACACATATTGATAAGGCCGTGAGCATCCATTGTGAACACATGCGCTCTGAGGTGAAAAGCTATTGTAGCAGTGCCCCCTATTGATTCGTTTGACATTGGTTCCTTTCACACAGTTCCAGTAGTCCAAACCATTCTGACCTTAAAGTCATGAGTCAAAATTTATCATTAAAATGTAGAACACGTTTGATACAGTCATTAACCTCATGGATAACACTATTCAATTTTCAACATTTCAACAGGGCTGGATGACATAATATGGAGTCTAAAGCACAGTTTGAGGTATTCAAGAGCATGATCCATATTGTTAGGCTACATTTTTACTATGTAATGTCTGGCAAATAGGTTTTGATATATAATTTATTAACTTTACAATCTTAATAATAATAAGGGGGTTAAGTACATTATAAAGGCCTACATTTGGTAAAATATAACTTTTTTCCATTTCATTTATGTGAAATACTATTTGAAAGTAGAGGATCAGAGTGGCAATACTGCTGCCAAGTATTGTACCACCAGCAAATTAACCTCATTTAAGTTAAAAAGGAAGCTTTGGATGTATCTCCCCAGTTTTCTCCACATATCTCCATATATGACTTTTCTCACACTTCTATTTCCAATGATTCCTTAATTCCTTAATTTCCAAAATTTTTGACAAGGGTGCAATGCGATGAGTGTCACACCTTGGGATTATTTGTGACCTAATTCAAGAGGTGAGGTCACGTTTTTGTAATCTAGCAGGATAAGTGGTAATGATGACTGCCCAGCAGATTGACCCAGCGGACTAAAACCATGCTGGTGGTACAATATTATCATGTGAAATCTGTCTGCAATTGATATTACAGTTTTCACTCCAAAAACACTGCTGTAACCATTGTGTTATCAGACGGAGTAAGCAAATGCGATCCAATGTACAGTATATTTTGATGCAAAGGCATTATCTAATAACATGAAAAAGTATTAAAATAGATATATAAGGAAAAATTCCTAATACACAAACCCTGTCAATATGGATAAAGTTCAAAAGATATACTCACAGTAATAAGTTTTTCTGTCAGATCCACACACATATTTGTATGGTTCAGAGCAGCCTTTGTGTACACATTTTGGTTTTGGTTTGGTGGTTGGTTTGGAAGTTGTTGTTCCTTTGAACTGTGCTGGGGTTGCAGGCTTTTTACAAGTTCCATCATACAACTTGGTTGCACCAATTCTTTCAACACACATCCAATAGTCCAAGGAATTTTGACCTAAATTGATAGATATACAGTCATGATAAGTATAATTTCATATTACTGTAAAAAGTTTTAGAATAGGCTATTCTGCATCACCAACTTTTAAGAAATGTTAAACTTTCAATTCTAAAAACAACGTTTGCTTTTATCAGTTACTTACACCTGTAAGTTATACCATCACTTGCACACAGGGTTTTGTATGGCCACGGGCATCTTTTGTAAACACAGGCACTCACTGCCGAGCTTAGTCTACTGCATTTGCGTCTTGACACCAATTTGACACTCTTACCATTGACACAATTCCAATAGTCTAGGCCATTTTCACCTACAAATCACACATACACATTAATACTTTTATATAAATATAAACATATATAGATATGTACACCCATTTATAAATGAGTACATGTCTGCGTGTGACAAGCAGTTATCTTTGACGGTGAACTATACAAAAAAGACAGAATTTGTTTATTTTGCAAACCATTTATGAAGCTGGGGCTGCACAATATATCATTTCCAAACAATTTAATGTGACAAAATAATGTAATAAAAGGAAATGTGCACTTACAATAATATGTCCTTCCATTGTTTCCACACACATACTTATATGGTGTAGGGCATCCTTTGTGGACACACGTCTGCTTTGCAGCTGTGGGAGTAGGTTTTATGGGTTGAAGAGTAGTGGTTGGCTTCTTTGAGGTCGTTGGTTTTCTTGACGAGGGAGTTGGTGCCATTGTTGATGGAGTTGGTATAAAGGTAGGTTTTTGAGTAGATGGCGTTGGTTGTGGGATAGATGGAGTTGGTTGCAGAATAGATGGAGTTGGCTTTGGAGCAGATGGGGTTGGTTTGGGGGTAGATGGAGTTGGCTCTGGGGCAGATGGTGTTGCTTTTGGGGTAGATGGTGTTGGTAATGGGGTGGTTGTTGATTCAGGGGTGGTGGTTAATTCCAGAATGGATGTTTTTGCCTTTGGGGTTGTAAATGGCTTCAGAGAAGTATTTGGTTTCAGGGTGGTCATAGTTGGTTTTGGGGTTGCTTTCGGTGTGGTTGTGGATGGTGATGGGGTTTTTGGTGGTTCTGCGGTGGATGTTGTTGGTTCTGGAGTTGTTGTAGGCTCAGGTGTTGTGGTTGCTTCTGGAGTGGTTGTAGGTTCAGAAGTTGAAGTTAGTTTTGAGGTGGTGGTTGGTTCAGGGGAAGTTGTAGTTGCTTCTGGGCTGGCTGATGTAGTCTTAAGAGTTGTGGTTGATTCTAGGGTGGTTGTAGGTTTAGTCTTTGTGGTTAGTTCTGGAGTGGTTGTAGGTTCAGAAGTTGTAGTTGGTTTTGAGGTGGTGGTTGGTTCTGGAGTGGTTGTGGTTGGTTCTTTTGTTGTTGATGTCAAGGTCAACTTTGAACACTCTGTTTCTCCCAATATTGCCAGATTTTTTCCTTGTTGTTTACTCATACAAATTGCTACCTCTATCTCACATCTGTTACCTATAAAAGGTAGAAAATAAAAATCAGGACTGTAGTAACTGTTTTTGGAAAGATGTTATGGTTTCCTGGAAAGTAGTGATAACACGCTTACTAGAAAGAAAAAGTATAATATCTGTGGAGCCGATTTGGTATAATGATAATTTTAAGATTGGGGGCAAGCCTGTGTTTTTAAGAAAATGGTTTAACAAAGGCGTCAAAATTGTTGGCGATTTTCTTGAAAATAACAGAATTTTAACAAAGGAAGAATTTGAACAAAAATTTAGCCTACAAAACTGTGGTGCGCTTACATTTTACGGTATACAAAATTCTATTAAGCACAGGCTTATTAATAAAACACATAACGATGTTTCTCACCCATTTTTGCCTCAAGCAATAGAGCTTCTTATAAAACATAGTAAAGGCTGTAGAGACTTTTATCAAACTCTCTACAAGCCAGCTACACGAATGACAAATGAACAAAAATGGAACGCAAAGTCAAATTTCAAAGTCAAATTTTGATGTACATTGGAAAGATGTCTATAAGAATTGTTTTGAAACAACAAAGAACACCAAACTGCAGTGGTTCCAATACCGCATAATACATAGGCTCCTGCCTGTTAAATCCTATTTAAAAACTATAGGGATTGAGAACGATGACGTCTGTTCTCTTTGTGGCGTTGCCAGGGAAGACATTTCGCATACTTTCTTCCAATGCACGTATAGTAAGAAAATTTGGGAAGAACTGAAAGCTTACATCTTTAACAGAACAAATAAAAACATTACCTTTAATGAAAAATGCATCCTTTTCGTCTATCCAACAAACCCAAACAGCTCAATTAATTTTGTTATTCTTTGTACGAAATTTTATATTTACAAAAGTTTCAAAAAGAAAGAATGTATGTGTCTTTCTTCACTCATAAATTACATAAAGGATCAATTTATAATAGAAAGATTCAATGCATTAAAAAAGCTAAATTTAACAAACTTTGAAAAAAAATGGGAAAATTGGTCAGATATGTTTGAATTTAATTAGCTTCAGCAAAATAATATATTGCACTCTTTTCTTGTTTAATAATCTATTGTAGTTTTGGTTGAATACATTGTGGTATCGATCTTTATTATTATTATTATTATTACACCTATTGTTCATGAGATTATAATCTTATATCCGTGTGTGTGAGAGAAAGTGTGTGTGTAAGAGGAGAGTGAGTCGATCTGCATTTACCATATTTGGGTATATGTACATTCCTATACTGAAATTTTTCAATAAAAAAAAAATCAATTAGTAAGTTAAATGCACTAGTGGTACAACTTAGCATCAAAGAGAACAACACTTGGTTTGGTAATAAAACATTTAACAACTAAACTACATAGACTAGATAAAATTCGTATCAATGAATAATATGCTAGCATGGTTGGGTGTTCTTACCATATGTTCTCATGTCTGTCCCACATAATGGTTTATATTCCTCAGGGCAAGGTTGGGAACATACTGAAGCTTGACCATTCACACTGCCTGCTACATGATACAAAAACACAACAGTTGATAATTGAAGAACACAAATTATTACAAATTATTATTCAATTTATTGAAATTTACTTTCATGTTCTTGGCACAGTATGTATATATTGTTATATATATATAATATTAAATGCAGAGTAAAATCAATTATATCTTCACACCCCAAAATGTTTCTTAAATAAGCAGTGTCAAAGAAAACAAATGCCACAACATGCCTTTAAGTTAAAAGATCTATTTCATGTACTATTATAAATAATCAAAGTTAATTAACAATAAATAGCAAACATAAGCTTCACTTACCAAACAAACAAAACAAAGTGAGCAGTAACTTCAACATCTTTATAGTGTAACCCAGATATCGACCTGGCTGAAGCACAGTCTTAGGTCTGTATAAGATTTATCATGGACCCATGCAATCTTCTTATTACATAAATACACATGACCTTTTGTTCCCCCCTTGGCATATCTAGGCCCTCTCAGAACATGCCATATGGATTTTGGTAAGCATGGTATATTCACATGGTCAAGTTGGCCTTGTAGAAGAAACTTCAAAATAACTTATAATTAGAGATGCATGTGACCCACAAGACCTGAGGATATCATAGCAGGTTGTCTGATACCAAGAGGCATTCCGATTCCATACGTCTATATAAGACCTTTTGTTTTAAAGATGAGTGTTTTTTTTTTCATTTAATATCAAAATTAAGTGATTTGCGGCACAGTAGGAACATTATATTGAATACTTCAATTGCAAGAACAGCAGCAAAAATTATCTCAAGAAACAAGTTTGGGGTGTTTTGAATGAATGGAAAACTAATGATTAGCCAAGATTCAATTAAGATAAAAGTATCAAAATTTCAATCAAAATAGTTGTAATAGTGTAATTTGCACTAATGAACTGCCATCTTTCCTTTTGAGTTATGGAGCTGATGTATTGTAATTATGTCAAGAAGACAAAAAAATTAGATGCATCAACAAAAAGTCTTATTATGGATCCACAAAAATATCAGCAACTAATTTTATTTTGGAACAAGTGTAAAGAGATTTGGCTATAAAATGTCACAAAACATTATGATCATATTTAAAGGTGTTACTTTTTAACAGGGAATGAATTAAAAAGTAACAAGTTACAAAAAATGAAAAAATATATACAGGACACAAGAAATAAAATGCACATGCCAGTACTTATATTATCCATAAATGTACTTTTTATAGGCAAACATGAATTCAAAAATGAATGCTGTCAATTTATAACAGTATGTCAATTGCTACTTAGTCACTTATCTGCATCACTAAATATGTTCAATGTTGTATGTATCCTAGGCATGGTTTTCTATACCAGTGTGGTTCAAATATCTTAAATTCCTCATGGGAACAAATGTCAGTTGTCACAGACATATTTACCCAATGATGGGCAATATTACATTTGCAAGGTTTACAGGAATCTTAATAAAATTGGATCCAACTTCTTTTGCAATGTCGAGAGGAATTTTAATCCATTTGCTCCATTCTGCTGGAATGCATGGCACTTCCTTTAGGCTTGAGAATGGTATTTTCTGAACGATACACAGGACTCGGTGCAGAGCACACTGGCTTCCTGTAAAAAAGATAATAAAAGGCTATTATATTTTTCTTATAAAATTTGCACTAGCCAAGTTCATGACATTAGTTCAGATAACTATAAGCAGAAAATAGAATTAACCTTGCTGTTAAAAAAACTCAGTAACAGTGGCTGAGATATCAAAAGGGGCAGAGGGAGGGTGGCTGGATGGCCATCCACCAATCCTTGCTCAAAATGGTTCACATCGAGTCATTTTGCCACACCAATAATAAAAAACTCAAAGGCATAAATCTCAGCCCCTAAGCTTAACTTTTTCGATCATTTTTTTTTTGAAGCTTCATAATCTCCCTCCCTTTTCCATCTCCCTACCAACAGAAAGTAAAAGTATGACTTGTGAAGCTGTACCATATTTCCCTCCTTTACTATCGCAGTAAAATCCAGGTTTGTCAGAACAATTCTGAGCACAGTAGTTAATAACTGGTTTTGCAGTAGAACTGGGTTGGTTTGTGGTAGGTTTGCCTGTCATCTGACTGGTGTTGGACTGGTTTGGGACACTTCCGCATGTTCCACTGTGCACGACCCTAATACTGGTCTTGTCTCTGCAGTTCTTATAGTTCACATAGCTCTGACCTGCAAACCAGGTAAAATTCTAATATTTTACCTTTTTTTTTTTTTTTTTTTGCTAAATGATTAATCATGCTAGTATTTGATTTCATAAATTTTTTTATCATTTTGGACATAAAGGAATAATTTTAGTAAAGATAAAATATATAGACATTAAGCAAATTTGGTATCCTCTGAACCTCACTTTATACAGTACACATATTACAAGTTACATTTAAACTAAGAATATAAATCAAGATCCATTTTATAAATAAACAAATAAAAATAAATAAATAATGAACCATTCCACAAGTAAGACTGCAGAAGTGCTACTGTAGAATTTGTACGTGTAGGTACGAATAGTTGTAAAGAATATCTATACGGTGTGTTTCCAATCAAGTTTTCCCTTCAACTCACAAAAGTAGGTTTTTCCATCATCTCCACAGACATATTGAAGTGGCATTGAACAAGGTGTGTTTGGACACGATGTCTGGCCTTGTATATTTCCTATCAGTAAAAAGTATTTAAAACAGTGAATAGCACAGTTCAACTACTTATGAAAACAATTACCAAATTAATGTCTATGAAATAAGATTTTTACTCTAATTATGGAATTTTTAGTACGTTTTCACTATCCAAAATACTCATTAACATTTAATGTCTAAAAAAAGTCATGGCAAGCTTTATTGGTGGGCCTGTGATCTAGATCCACAAAGAAAAGATTTTCATATTGTGCAAATTAAAATTAAAATTAAAACATTTTTAACTAAGTCAAACAAAATGGTATAATGCAATACTTACCCAGGGAAAATAACCACAATACAACTACAAACTTGAACATCTTCAGCAAAAGAGGGTGGATTAGTACATGAAGAAAACACTCCCTAGTAATACTCAAATCCAGGACATCATGCATGATTATTAGACTGGTGAGAATGCCACATCTGTGGCAGCTTTTAAGAAAAAAAAACCTCTCAGGCCTTTTAAAAAAAAAATCAAATAAGTAATTTTTTACATCCCCCACAAATGCTTTCTTAAAGAGAAGCCATGTTCACATCGAACCATTAATATTTTGATGCCAGTCACACTTCTTAAATCAGATATTCAGTTTTCATTTAAGTTTATCTCTGGTGTCTGATTGCCAGCTGTTAGACTATATGAATAACTGTGTGCCTGTTATTGACTTCTTGGTCTTTTAATGTCTGTTCTAATGTTTTCCTCCCCCTTTTTCACAAGAATGAATAACAATATTAGTTGTCATTTTCAAAAGTTCCAGTATTCTTCTTTGCTTTTAAGTTTATTGATGATTTACATTTATTATATAAATTTTTTAAACATGATTAAACATCTCTTAATGTCTGCAGTGCATAGAATAAGATTTCAAAGACATTTTTATAATTACACACAAAATAAAAACTACATATTGTTTGTCTGCAAGAAAATAAGTGGATGGGAAATGGTGGGAGTGGAGTTCAGAGACTGAATTATCTCCCAAGTCCCTGCAGAAAGGAAGTTCAACCCATATGTTCTTTGGGAATCTTGCCTGCTCTGTGTACTATGTGCTGATAGCTCTGTACAGGTACATTTAGCTAGAGTGATAATGGGTACTTATTAGAATATTAATTTAACTTGTATTTCAGTAAATAAATATAAATTAAAATCAACAATGTATAATGTGCAAAATAAAACAAAGCCAAGCAATTTTAAATTTCCATATTCTCTATGAGACCAGAGTGGTCTTGAAAACATTCTGGAATTTCTTACAAAATAAAATCACAGGATTTAAGGGGGAATAAGATGGGTTTGTTTCAAACATGGCCAATCTACTAGTAATCTTCAGGCATTCTTATCTTCCAGGAATAAACAGCTATGGGTGTCTTTAACTAAAATGTTTGATGATAATTATGATAAAATCAACCTATATTTTGTTTGTCATTAATTTCATTCGAGGATATCTTATTCCACTAGGGATGGTGGAAACATAAAACGTTGCATCAGGTTGCTTTGAACTGATTTACTTTCATAAAACTGAATAGATACATGCCAAAGTACAATCTTGGATGCATTAATCATAAAAACTAAACTGAACTTTTCAACCAATGATGGCTGCCAGCCAGTCTGGTAACTTGCAAGCAACTTCTTTTGGATTCCAGTACCAAACTAATTTTGATAGGCAAAAAGTATGGTACATCTCACATTGGCTCCCTAGAATTAGAAAGAAAAAGAAAAATTGATGTTGATAATAATTTGTTTCACTATTCAATACTTAACCAACTTTAAAATAAAGAAGGAACAAGGAAAAGAAAATGAATACTAATACATGTACAAACAATCACTAACATGCAATGACAAGTAATTTTAAATACTTTGACTGGTAGTTTGAAATAAATATTATAAAAAAAAACTAGACATAAAAGATGGCAAATATAAAGAGATAAAACACACACAAAAAAAAAGAAACATAGAGAATCACAATGATTGGAATATATATGATGATAATAAAGATAGCATTCTGAAACACTGGCTAACCATGAGGGGCCAGAATGAAATTACAAGCTGTCAGTGAAGACTTTATCAAAATCCAGAGGAAAAAAGCTGCACACCGTATTTCTTGCCGTGATCGTCACAGTGCACTTTGTGGGCCTTAGAGCAAGGCGCAGAACAAGGGTTGAAGTCGGGCTTTGGAGTTGTTGTCAGCTTGTGAGCAGTGGTCATTTTGAAGACACTTGGTGTGGGCGTTTCCCTGCATTTACCTTTCCCAACTACTTTTACATTGGTGCCATCTCTGCAGTTTTTGATATTCAGATTTCTCTCACCTAAGAAACAGTGTGTTCTGAGTTATGGTTCTGCAGGCATATTTGATTGCTATTTGAAGTCATGCACTTAGTAAACTATAAAAGCTGAGCTTATTACAAAATTGTCTAGTAATATTACATATTATGGCTAAAACAGCCTGAATGCATTTAAAACAAATAAAGGACACTAGAGTATGGATTATCATTCACAATACCAAAGTATATATTGTCCATAGCAGGGGCGGATCCAGAGTTATTTTCTGACAGTCTTCCAATTTATCCATTGATCCATCCTCCATTTTTGACCGTCTTCCGACAGAAAAAATTAGATACCCATCAATGTAAACTTGAAAATCTGACCGTCTTCCGGAAGACCCAGAAGACGCCCTAAATCCGCCCCTGCATAGGTGTTGTATAAAACAGCCCAAAATACATCTACATTTTGTTAAAGGCAAATCATTGCATATAAAGGTTTTCAGGAGAAGTGTTATGCTTACAATAATATGTTTTCCCATCATCTCCACACACTCGATTTGGCCATATACATCTATGCTGGTGAGAGCAATCCCGTTGTGCTGTAGTGGTTACCTTGTTCACTACTGGGGTAAGGGTCGGATTTGTGGCTTTTGGGGTGGCAGGTTTAGTGGCCTTGGGAGTGGTTGCTTTTAAGGTTGTTAGTTTGAATGTGGTTGGTTTGGTAGTGGTTGGTCTCAGAGTTGTGGTTGGTTTTATGGTGGTTGTGGTTGGTTCCTGTGAAGTTGTTTGTTTTATGGTGCTTGTGGTTGGTTCTTGGGTGGCTGTTAGTTTTAGAGTAGTAGTTGGTTTGGGGGTGGTTGTAGGTGGTTTTCTGGTGGTGGTTGTTGGAAGGATTGTAGTAGTTGGTTTCTGTGAAGTGGATGGTTTGGGAGTGGTTGCATTTTGTTTTGGGTGAGTTATTGGTTTGGGGGAGGTTGCTGGTTTTTGTGTGGCTGTCAGTTTAAGAGTAGTAGATGCTGCAGTACTTGGCTTTGAAGAAGTCATCTTTCTAGAGGTTGGAACAGATTTAGTAGTTGTGGGGAGTTTATAGCATTCACTGTATCCTAAGACAGCTAATGATTGTCCAAGTTGCTTATTCAGACAAACTCCTATCTGAAACTCACATGTATTGCCTAAAAAATTTACATAAAAGAATTAGGCATTTTGGCAAGAATGTATGTCCAGCATCATGGCTTTTAATATCAAAGAATATTGGAATAAAGGGTAAGTGAAATATTTTCAATGTAGACTTCATTATGAAAAATAGTTGGGTGGGTGAGCACCAAAAACAGTTTATAGATGGGCTCAGGAAACAGCTTGCATTGGCCATCATAAATCCAAACATCTATGGCAAATGATAGCAAAAATGAGACACGATCACAAACACGGAATCGGCAATCTTAACAGTGCAGCAAGTGGCCATAGCAAAAGAGAAATGTAAGCATAATATATAATGCAAACTTTTCTCAGTGTGAGCAAACTTGTACATCAAAATTAAATCTAGGTCTCTAGTCACCAAAAAACATGCCGACACAGGCAAGATCCAACATAATACCCCATATGTGATACTTGCATGCTGAAGATAAATTAAATAATTTTCCATTGTTTTGAATACAAACCATAAGTTCTTCCATCAGTTCCACATATTGGTTCATAGAACTCGGGGCAATCTTTTGCACAAAGTGAAGGCTGGCCATGCACATTTCCTGCTAAAAAAGAAAAAAAAAAAATGGTGCAACATTTAGTTTTAATGAAGTACAAATAAATTAAATGGGAATATTGATTGACAATAAATAAAGACAGAACATCTTCAAATTTTAAAGACAACATCTACACTAGACAGCAATAAATTAGCCAAATTTTTTAAAGTTAAATCAACAGGCACAATTTCCGTAAACAATTACTTCTGCAAAAATAATCCTATCATGTTGACCTTGCAAGGAACCTGCTTTTTCACCAAATAAAGCCACTCAGCAATATTTTTTAAATATTAAATTTAAAAATAATACAAGATATAGTGACTATATATAAAAACCAGCAAATCTTATACATACCAAGAAAGCACAGCACCGATATAATTATAAACTTCATCATACTGTAATGGAATGACTATCAGACTTGTTTAAAAATCTGTGTGATGTCCACTAAAGATGTGAACTTTACACCTGTCCAAAGATTTGTTGACACCGAGACCAGTGTCCTACTTTGCTCTTATCTAATTGGCTTCAAGGTTATCTTTGACTAGACAGTTTGTTAAAGAACTCATAAGAAAATAATTCCAATCACCATCTTGGGAGAGAATAATGAAAATATTGTATAATCCCTTCTCAGGTACCATTATTAATTTCATTGACCAGTTTTCTTTCCAGGTTATAATTGGCGGTACTAAAGCAGTCACTGACTTTCTTTATGAAATATTGTAATCAAATATAATTTCTCAGCCTCTTCTAAAATTCTTAAATTGGTTATTTAACTCCTCAATATGATGGATTAAAAAAAAAGTAATAATAAGCCTGTGAGATCTCGTGTGGCCAATGGATAGAACAGACGATATTCCAAAATTGAAAACTTGTCTTTTTATAAAATTCACTTTCTAACAATGGTTTACAGTTGTTGTACTGTCAAATGATACCCAATTGTCACCCTTATGTTAGAAACCCACTTTAAACAAACACAATAAGAAAGATACATAAAGTTAAACATTCGTACACCCATTGAAGTTTCAGAAACTTTTTATTCAACAAAAGTAAGTTGCACAGTGAGTATGGTTACATGGCAAACTCAACTCCATACAAGCATGATTTAACCAACACGAAAAATAAAGTGTGCAAATCAATACTAAAGCAATCAGTCGTGAGTCATACTACAGTACTAATTTGATCATGTCATACTGCAAAAGTGATTTGATCACAAAAAAAAAGAATTAATTAATAAATAAAATAATAATAATGCAACAATCTTCTAAGAGAATTACTACATACCCTAGTAATTGTAGAATTTCATTTAATCCCCTTAATTTTCTAGCTCAAGTTCTTCATCTGAAAAATGTTTATCCATGGAAGCTTGCAGACAATATTGGCAGGAAAATGAATAAACACAAAGAATTGTGATAACTTAGTACCTGTAACACATTAATTTCGTCGAAATTAAATATTTTTACGCAGACATTGGTTCAACTTTACCAGTATGATTAAAAAATTAACCCAATTTCTCGTGCAACTTTAACTATAGAATAGAGATGCCTACATTTTGTCTACTTCTGACCATTCAAATCTGCGTTGATCCCTTTCCTCAATTTGTTGTCACAACCTTATCAAGCCACTCATAAATGCTTATTTCTGACATAACCACAAAACAGCTTTAATACCACATTATACTTTTAAAGATATCCTGGCTAGTTCTAACTCTTACTACTTTCCTGCACATTTCTTTGACATCTATGATAGAAATTGGAAGAAAAATTTACTATGAAAATGTTTTCATTTAAAATACCACTAATCAAATGACAAAATGTTTTTTTTTTTCGATGGAAGCACTTTACCAGACAAATGCTTTTTCCTATTTTCACTGATAATAGTTTGTAGAAATTGCTGCTTTGTTTTATACACCCATAATGTCCCTTCTATCTTCATTCCTAACTTAGCTTTTTCTTTTGATGACGAGTGGCCCTACATTGTCACCAGTTTCCTTGTTGTGTGCATTATGAGTACCATCACAGTATGGGAACTGAAATAAAGATTTAAATCATTAAAATTAAATAAAAGTAGACCTCACATATTGTACCTTTGATTTCAAACAGCTAAATATCACAAGGCACTTGCATCAAGAGTTTACTACCAACACAAATGTTGACAAAAGAGAAAAAAGCCAGAACAATCCTGCTTGATCAGAAAGAACTTTCAAAACTGTTTTTCCCCTCTCATTCAGGGGTTTTAATGTTATTTAAAAATAACTATTGGCATCTTTGATACCTTACTCCTGAATATCTTAACTTCAATTCAAAAGTTTGCACTTAGATATGGTTCAATTTGTCATAAAAAGGGAGCAGTTACTCTATAATTTTTTATTTGTTCTAGTCAAATAACTTTTTAAAAGAATACAATGATAAAGTAAAGATAACAAAATTAATATTTTTATTGGTTATTTTCCAGCAAATTGACCTGGTCATAAGGCAAAAATTCTAAAAGACAGTATAGTAGTAGCCACAGTGGTACAAAACAGTAGCAAACCTTCTTTGATCTCCAGCATCTACAAAATACACTTTTCTCTGCAAGATCTTCAATGTCTACAGCTGTTGCCACTTTCTCACATTCTTTTTGAATATCTGGGTTGATTGGAATCTTTTTCTTCGATGGCAGAAATGCTTGCACAGTGAAATATACCATCAATGACACTGTTCCAACAAATGGCAAAAGTCTCAACCAGTCACCGCCTACATTAATAAAGATAAATTCTAAAAATAATAATTTTAAAAAATAATAAAACTTTATGCATGTGCAATTACAAACACAACTGGGCATGCATACTTATTGCAAAAAGGAACCCTCTTATCCTGTTGATTAAAAAGCTACTTGCAGACAGATAAATATGCATGTAATCAGTAGAGCTAATAGACACGAGGTCATGCCAGCATTAAAACATATCATTCTTCTATTAATTCTGGTACCCAATATTTTCCCAATATCTTTATTTTGAGCCAACCATATCTTTATTTACATTACAAGTACAAGACACAGAGGGCATAAGGAAATCCTGTATAGATTCACAAAGGGAGCATTCACCTACAAATATGTGTCACACTTCATTTTACCTGTATTTTTTCCTAGCCATTACTTATTGACAATGAGATGCTGTTATAGATACATCTACATATAGCTAAGTACAGTATAATCCCCATCGTGATAACAATCAGGGGAATCTCTCGATAATACTTATAAGTGATCAAAACTGTATCTGTGGATGGTATAAAAGCGTTAGCGTTAAACCATTTACTTTCGAAATACGCATGCTGACAAAGCAGTTTCACAAAGCTTCCTATCTTCCATATCATTTTCAAAAACGGTCTTTTGGCCTCTGCTAAGACTGCCATAAAACTAACATGATAAGCTTTTTTATATCATATCTAAATTTCAACGGGCAACATTTTCACCTGACATATCGGCAAGTCCTTCAAACGAGTCGGGAAATGGAAGATTTTTCAAGTAATTGGGAAGAGAAACTCGAACAAGGCCTGATACCGCCTCCATCACGCTATTTTTAAACCGAGGTTACAGGTAGGAGGTGCAAGGAAGTGCCTGATATTTAAAAGATTTTATATAATATAACAAATATGTGAAAAATTAACAATGTAAGATAGTTTGAATATATCATTTTCAAAATACCTTACCTATATTTATTTAATATTATGCACATAATGCATGTTTGAAAGTATCGGAAACCGCTCTTTACACTCCGCGTTTTAGCACAAACCTATACAAGAGGTTAGAGGTCAGTAAATTGGATGATGGAAAAATACCAGACAAGCCGGAGAATTTCCAGCGATAAAGAACTACTGCACGATAGCAAGGTAAGCATTGACAGCAGGTGTTAATGTAAGGTAAGCATGTATTTTATACTGTATGTCCATATAAAGGATAATATGAAGGACAGCGGTGCTTTGTTCATATGTACCCCGAACGCAAAGTTTGACTTTTGCTAGATAATATTTTTCCTCAAATAAGTCGTTTTGTCGTTAAGCAAAACGATGACATTCTGTAATGAAGGCACAATATATTCCATCTGTTGAAATCGTGTAGGAATTTGCATTTGAAAAAGGCGCACGGTGTATACTTCATATAAATCGGCGATTTTTGATCAGCATGCGTAGGGGGGAGGGGAGGGGATGAACATATATTGTTAGATCTACATTTTTATGTTAGAAGTATTAGATCTAATGAGAAAATAACTAAAGCTGTCATGTAAATACGGAAGGGAAATCCTAATTGTTTGTCATCCCCAGTGCTTGTTCCTAGCGTTACTTTGATACATTTGCCCAGTAGTAGTGGTAGTATTATATCTATCATGAACAGTTACATACTATACAGTACTTATATTAGCACGAAAATCCATGCTTTAGCACTCCTATTGACGTTTCTGATATGTACTGGTTACTGGTTAGCACACATGAATTTTCGTTCTATACTTTTATGTGAGTTCTGCCAAAATGTATGTTGCTAAAATAGGTACTGGGATGTATTCTACTGATAAATGTGAACAAAATGATGGTAAAACTTTGATTTAACCCATTCAAAAGGGACACCAAAATGATCATTTGAATTTCGAAATGAAAAATTAAGAGTTGGTGAGGACTTAAAAAGTATAAATTTTATAGATCTTCAATAGATCTTCAGTTTGGAACTGGCTTTTTGCATGACCATGTATTTGGCAAGTGTAACATGAAATCATTCTTACTCCATCCTCTCATCTTTCTTCTGCATTACTCTTTATTTCTAGGTTGAATTATTTTATTTAAATAAATGATGTATAACTACTGAACAAACTCCTTTTATCTTGTTCATCATGCAAACGTGTACCCATTTTGAAAGCAGTACCTGTTAGAACATATTATGTCTTGTGGCTATTTGATCAGTAATTTGAAAAGAATGAAGACAGATGTGTATTTTTGGCCTGTTTGACATTGGCTGAATGGATGTGTTTTTCCTATATGGAATATACCTATAGGTTTAAGAAATACATCATAATTGTTTTGACTGTTATCTTGGGTGTTAAAAGATGCAGTATGTTATCATCCATTTATCATCAGTTTGTTCTGTATCATACTAAATCTTTCCTTATAAAATTGGGTCAGTTACACCAAGACTTCATGGTTTCCACTGATAGAAGCTGTATACAGTAATTAAAGTAGGATTTTTGGAATTTTCCTACCAGTTCAACAAGCGTGTCGACCTGATATATCAGTGGCAGGAGTTATAATTTTTCATTTATTGTAAGGTTGTGGATACATGCGTGTACATGCTAGAGTAAGATCTATTATTACTTAATGATAATTTTGTAAGAAGATCTTTTTGAGGAATTTCACACACATACAGTGACACACACAAACACACAGAGAAAAAATGTATTGTTTCATGCATTATAGCTTTTAATCTTGTCACAATATAAAGATGCCAAAGATACATAGTTCTGGCATTAGAAAAAAAAAAAAAGGTTCAGCATAGGTAGAAACAAAAGAATTATGAGCCCAGATATATTTAGTAACTGATCAACTGGATTTAATCTGGTGTGACCCTAACTTTCCTCTTACATGTATAGACTGGCTATAGATATTGGCAAATCACTTGTGTTACTGGAATGTATTTTATCATTAATTGCAAAATAAGCATAACAAGCACTGGCAGATATGAAGTCTGGATCTTATTGACAGTGGCGTTAGTTTAGTTCACACCATATAAGATCAGGTAAAAATCTTAAAAATCCATTTGCAAAGAGTTTGCATTAATTGTAGCTTGGAATAATTTTACTGCTCATTTGATGAAGAGAGAAAAGAGTCCATATACTGCATGTCTGCCATGCTACAAAGTATGCAAATTTTGCACAGAATGTCTTAAGCAGCATCTATGTCCCTGGTTTATTTCAGTATCTACAGTGTTGCTTGTGCCAAGATCTGTGCAGTATGTTGGGGTTGACGGGCAGGTAAAAATATACTGGGGTGCATTTTAAGTACATACATTACATTTGGAATACTGCTTCCGTCATAACGGATTCTTAAGAAAGATCAAATATGAAAAAAAACTTTGATTTTAACTCCCGAAGCAGATGGGTAGTTAAGCTAGGTTATACTTTAATTGAATTTTTCCTTACAATAGCGATGATTATGTTTAAGTTACTCATTAGGGTGGGGTTGGAAAGTGATGCTTTTTTATTTATAATTCACAGTCACTAATTATTTTTTATCTGAGCAATTTGTCCCATATAGAATTTTGGCTTTAAAAGACTGGATTTGTAATTTCTTTATCAACATTTAAGAAGTGAAAATTCAGATACTGGATGTTGTCTTATTTTTTAGAAGAATGCCTAAGCCAAATGAAAACTCATATACTTTGAATAGAATAGGTTTTGCTGCACGAAATTCAGTGAGAAGCATTTTCTGGATGTTTACATGAATATATACTTCTTGAATCTCATATCTATTTTTATCAACTATGAACACAAATTTAATCAAATAAAGGAAAGAAAAATACTTATTTTCAACTTCTGGTCAGACATGAAACATTTTGTATGATCGTCCTTCCCCATTCTTGGCTGTATTTGTGTAGCTAGAACTGTACTATGAGGGATCATGAGATCTGTTTTATAACAGATGACTAATCTATCTCTCCATATTTCAGATTTAATCATCATGGTCATACTGTCGAAATGTGCGATGTCCGATGGCACTGTCCTGACACCATCAACAGTGTCTGTAACTCATACAGAAACAAGAAGCACCTTCACTACAGATCAAGTGTCAAATGAAGTTCTTTTGAACATACTATTGAATATTCCCTTTTTGGAGCTGAAAAAATGTACCCAAGTTTGTCAGAGGTGGAGGGTAAGGTTCACTTACATTTGGTCTTAATTTACTGAGTGAAAATATTTCTATAAAAAAAATCTTAAAAAATTATCTAATGTATTTTTAAAAATTCCTATTTGTGTTATTTAGTTAATCAGTTTCAGGTATTTCTTGTGCTCTTTTAACAACCTGAGTTGAATTAAATAATATTTTTTCTCATATTGTAGGAGATGGTTGAAGGGTCATACTTCTGGCGATGTTATCTGCAGAAGAATTATTCACTGAAAACACAACTCGGGGTAGAAGGTAAAGATACTTATACATTCATTTATTTATCTTAGTGTATTTTATGATATATATTTTTATTTATTTATTTTTTATATTGCTAATGCTGGTGCTGAATTGGATTGTATTTGGAAGTCATCAATTGGCACTTTGTTTAAAATTTCAAATTCCAGAAAGACCTTCAGTATATGCAGTGCTAGTACTAATAACTGTGTCAAGGTTTTTATGTGAAAAAATATCTCAAAGTTTAAAAAAAATTGAGCTCATATACATGTACAATTTCATTTCCACCTTACTGATGTGCCAATATTTAAGGTCTATGCAAACCTGTGCACTTGTAAATGTATAACTGATAACCATGAAATCTTGGTTTTATGCTCTCCTATGCTCTTATCAGTCACCTTAATTACCAGTTTTGATTACCTAGTCAGTGAGTTAAAATAAAGATAAAATCTCATTTGTGTCAGGCACAAATGAAAGAGGCCTTAACTGGTCTAAAATGTCAGTCCACATATACATGTAAATTGTATTTTTCATAGATGTCTTTACTTAAATGAATTTTGTACTACTGGGGCTAGAGGAAAACAATAGATTGAATGAGTACTGACAACCCATTTCATTTTCACCGTGCTGCTGTGTATAATGTACATGTATGTAGAGGGCTGTGTATATATTTGAAGGTCCTCTAACTGACTGGCAAGATGGCCTTCAGCCAATGTATAGAGGTGGCTTTGATGCACTTACTGTGCAGCCGGCAGAAGTCTTTCATCACCTACCCAAAAGACTTGACAATGGTTTGTATTATTCTGAATAGTTTTGATATAAAGCATAAGGTCAAGGTCATAACTATAACAGGCTATTGACCGAGATGGCAATGTTGTAAAAGAATGAATGTAAGTAGAAGGTTACTGTTATGCAATAAGTTATTTCAAGTTCAATACTTGGGAAATTTCCATTACGCCATTCTTTAAGGCTGTATTTAAGACTTATGAAAAGTTTTTTTTATTTCAGGTGTTCTCTTTCCCATAAGCATCCAAATGGACAAGGTTCCCTCTTCAAAAACTTTGATCACTCTGTTGGAGACTTTTAAGACCATCAAATCTACAATAGACAGTAATGGTTTAGTCTATGGTAAGTGCTGTGTCCACAAGCAAAATTTGCTAGATACAGAAATATTTAACTTCTTAATGTAAGCTTAACATTTCATAATTTGACAATATTTGTGGTACAAATTAAGGGAAATGTTTCTGAAAATAGATTTTAATTATATAGTATCATTTAACTTCTAAGATGTGATTTAAAGGATACAAGTTTCCTGGAAAGGTTTTTAATATAATTTTTCAAATTTTCTTTATCTAACAAAAGTCAGGCCTGTAGGAAGGAGGGTTCAGGGTTGCATACAATTTGCTCTGTTGGTTGAGAAAAGGTCTGTTATGAATTGAGACTTTTGCCACTATGGCACTGGTCCACTTTTTCACAAGAAGGAATTACAAACCCATTTGTGAATTTGAATTTGCTGGCTACAGACCTGAAAAGTGTAGAGTAAATACACAATTTAAAATATATTCCTAGGTCTATGTGTATTGAATATGTAAAAGAAAAATAATGATATTTATTTCAGATGGACAGATGGGGTTCGGGTGGAAGAGTGAGGGCTTTTGTCTAATGGATGTGTTCTTGTTCCCTTGGCAAGAAGACCAGCAGCCAACCAGTGAGGACATTAGCAGAATCTTTATGCTGAATGAAGATCTGAAGGTAAGCATCACTTTCAGTTTGTTATATTATCAGATTATTATATTCAGGACATTTCCTTCATGGATAACATATGGGTGTCCCTGCCAGAAGTATATTTAACAGAATTATGTGGACTAAACTGTGAAACAACATTATGATGTCTGGATAGCTTAATCTTAACAGGAAAACTGTGAAGAGTGAGCATTCCCTTACCTTTTCACCTCCTTATAATTAAAGATAGATGCCCTTTACATTTATGAGCCAACCATGGTAACAAACCTCAACACTTTCTAATTCAGGACAGCATAATACAACAGAAGAAAACTAAAAGCCAGCTGACCTGTGTTCTTAGCCACCTTGGCTTCCAGCATTGGGTCAGTGATGCCCTATGTCCAGGAAAAGAGTGGACACAGCTGTGTTTCAATGTCCACGACCCCACACACATGATGTGCCCAAGTCCTGTATTCCTGTATAGTGATGTTGCACCTAGCTGGATCGGGGGCATTCTGACAGGATTATGGTGATTATTAGGATGTGGACTTCAATTGGATTCTGTTAACCCAGCGTTTGTAGGAATTATGTCAAATTGCCTTTCAACCCGATGTAACCAAGGAGAAACTTGGATGTTTGTAGAAATTTCAAAGAATTCCAACCCCATGTTGTCAAGGAAAATCTCCTGTAGAGTATGGATTTCGACTGAATACATGTAGGACCTGGATGCACAATGTATGTGAAATGTGAATTTTGACTGTGATTTTTGAATGCCAAACAAGTGCCACGATGGCCGCTTCTGCCCGTCTTTTTGTTGATCAATGCGGGAGCAGGTTTGGACCCTATGACTTTTTCGCTAAATGGCAGTCTCATCCATGATAGCTGTACCACCAGCAGGGTGCAGGGTGCTGGTGGTACACATAGTTTTAGTCCCAACCTGTCTCATTTATTACATATAGAAATCAGCAATTTGAATGATGGAGAGTCATTCTGGTAAACTACACATTAAGTTTGCCAGTTGAGGTTAGACAGCTTTGTAAAGTTGATTAAATGTGGTAATGACACTGACAACTTAATTCATGAGTTTGGGCATATTTGTATAGAGACTGGTATGCAGAAAATGGTCCTACTTTGTAGTAAATTACAGTATTAAAAATATATACATATATATATATATTTCTATTTTCCAGGAATTATTATTATTATTATTAATATTATTATTATTATTAAATATAATATATTCAATTTTTATTATATTTATATGCCATAGTCATTTTGCTTTCATCTACATTAATCATCAACTCTCTTCTGGAACATTCTTTGAAGAAATCACAAGAGATCATTTTTATTTAACATTTATTAAAAACACAACTTTGTTGTACACATACGTAGCAATCTGACAATTCATTAACATCATAAGTACATTACTGAATATATGTGATTTTTACATTTGTAAATCTGGCCTCATCAGCAACACTAATCCATGGATTGGATCTGATAATAATGTTGGGCTGTTACCATGTATGATTTTCTGTATGTCACAAGCTTTTACATTTTCTTACTTGCTCAGTTACAAATCTTTGGTTTTGCCTTCATTTTTCATCATTTCACAAACATATTTTTGTACAGGTGGATTGTACCATCATATACTGGTATATAGGTCCAGCAAAATGCCTTAATAAATGGAAAAATTGAATTGTTTGAGTGCTTTGATCACCGTCTCGGTAAAGCCACAGTTCTAGTCTTGATGACATTTTCAGTGCCATTGTTCTTTACAATTTTTAAATTAACTTCATTTGTTGCATAAATCTATAAAATAACAAAATTGCTTGAGAGCACGCCAAAAATCTAGCATAAATATCTTGATCACAAAATATTTTACTTTCAACAACTTTTTAAAAATATAACCGACCAACTTCTCTAAGAATCGTACTGACATCCGGTGCGACCCCAACAACTACAGATATCCATGTTAAGAGCAACTGGCATATTTAAAGTTTGTACAAGTTAGTGGGGAACTTGTAACACACTTATGTGTACTAGAAATTACATCAATTCCATAATGTCCGGGTCCTAATATTGCAGACTTCAGACAAGTAACCTTGAAAAATGCACAGAAATGGTTTCAACACTAACAAGTTGCTTCTATAGGTAAAATTTCACTGACAAAATATGTCTTAATCTTAACATTTGTTGTCTACACAACGTACACCAGAAAAAAGTGTGTGAGCAAATTTTAAGTATAATTAAATGCCCACAGTAATTAAATACTGGTTATAAATCTTGTGTTAAGTTGAGAAAATAAAAATGTTTGAAGCACCAACTCCGACTTATCAAATATTAACTTGCTGGATGAGAGTGGATGGAAATAAAAATTGCCATGAAAACAAAGCTGTAATTTTTGTGGTTTCCTTCAAGACTAATTAATTTATAAATTAGTCTGCTTCTACCAAGTATATGCAAAGTAGTATTTCAAATGGCAATTCCAGTAATACTCCATAAAATAGGCAAAAATTTTTTACAGCATTCATTAAAGCATTAATGGTGCACAATAAGCTATAATTTTCATTTCACAAACATGTTTTTGTACAGGTGGATTGTAAAATAAATAATGTCATAACACAAAAAATACCACATTTAACAGAAACCTGTTTGTTAAAAAATATTACTTTAGTCATGATGCCTTCCTCAAAATCTATTTTGTGATAAAGATTAATGGATGCTCATCCTATTTTTCAGCAAAATTGAAAGTTTAAGGTAATTTTCTGTTTTTCTTAAGATACTAATTTCCTGAGAAAATTAATTCACAAATCGATTAGGTAGTATCTGCTGGGCATTTCCTCCTTTTGCCTTCAAAATACAAATATTCTTAACTATTTTTGGAAGATTGTTTCACAAAAAGTTTGCAAAAATTGTAGAGTTAACTTTCCAACATGGGTCTCAGACTGTTTTACAAATAATTGACCTAAACAATGACAAATTTAGGTAGGCTTTTGTCACCATGCACTGTCAATGAAATAAATGTCAATATAAAGACACTTTATCTCACCTTAGTTTAAAAAAATTTGTAGCCTTTTAATTTTCTCTGTAAAGTTTACCAAATAATCTTAGCAGTCTTTGATAAGGTCAATATTCACGATTTAATGAAACAGGCTCCAGTTTCAACAAAAACTTAAACATAAATACATGTATAAGCCTCCATTAAAGGAATATATCTATCAAATGCTATAAAAAGGACAACTGTTTAAATTTGAAACACCATACACCACCAGTGAGAATGTAAACAGACTTTAAACCATGTCTCACCATCAAAATATTACATCATCATCCTTACAACAGCAACATTGTACAGGAGCAGAATAGAATATACACATCTTCCTTAAACTTAGAAATCCAAATGGTTCTCTAATGGTGTAAAAAATCAAGTTTTGTTTCATTCACCTGCATGCTAGACTTGGAGATAGATAAAGAGGTATGGATTTTAGTGGGAACAGTTAATAATTCTAGGCAATTTGCCTTAAAATCTTTGATGTGACCATTCATGAAATTTTTTATTGAGTTCAGTGTCTTTATTTAAATATCCAGTGCCAATATCTAAAGGAATGTTGATTCTTTTTGAGGAATACTAACCCTCCTCAAAATCACATGCAACTCTTCACTTGCTTCCAGCCAAGTTTAAAATAGTCGACTTCTCTAAGAGAGAGTGAAGGCCATGGTTGACAGGTATGAGGAAATCGGCAATGATGCTGGAAAATCTTATGAACACATCCCTACTTAAGTAATCTTTAAGTTGACATAATTCTAATAATTTTTAAAGCACAAAGCACAGTCAATGCTTCATCACAGCAAATCCGGCAGCCTCATTTTTGTTTTTGGTACAAAACGAAATGAAATTTCAGATACATGACTTGAATTTGAAACAGCATATTTGCTGCTTGCTGCCAGTATCCTATTGCCAATACAAATCACTTTTTGTGGCATCTTCTCAGTATATTCACCCACTGTCATTCAACATACATTCCATACAAAAAAGCAGCAACTCTGACCAGACATAATTTTTATCTTGTATTAATTCAATGGCACAAACATTATGACAATACTCTGGGTTGGTTATGTAGAATCTTTTTCCTTTATCAACTGCCTGAATACGTCTACTTCTTTAATACTGGTGGATAACCTAAAAGGAAAATAATTAAGGAGGCTATGGTAATCTCAATTGCACAAGGTTGATAACAATATTTTGTTTCTCTGAACTGACCCATTAATTGATGATCTCTAGAATCAAAGCTGAAGAGAATAAAATACAAAGTGACAAATCCTTAAAATCACCATCATGCAGAGTTCACTGTACAAAGCTTTCTAGAGTTATAATAAATAAATCTAGTAACAAATAAAGTAAATATTAAATAATATAAATCATCCACAAGACAGCAAATAATTACCTTCCAAAGGCATTAAACAATGAAACTATTTCTGATCTGCGTAGCTGGAAATTTTTCTTCTGTTGTGCGTCAACTGTGGAATCAGGGCCCATTGTATCTCCAGAGAAGAGGATCTTCAAGGCAGTACCCATACCCTGAGTCTGAAATTGTAATTAAACAATATCAAATCCTCAAATTTTTCTTGGCCGTAACTGTAAGATATATCAAACTGTTTCATGACCTTTAATAGATTCAAAATTGACAATTTATAAATATAAATGTTTAAATCATTCGTTGTCCTGTTAAATTGCATGTGCTGTTGAAAGAATTTGTTGAATACACCTCAACTACACACACAAACACACACACACACACACACACACACACACTTGGTATATCCAATAAATATTTCTAGTACATTATATATCCAAGATATTCATTGTACATAAAGTTAAAAACAACAAAAAAAAAAAAAAAACTTCAGATCCATATTCTGGAAAATAAGTTGGGTTTAAATACATTCAGCACTGAGAGGGATATAGGTTTTATAATTGTTTCTCTGGAAATCCACCAGCTTCTTTATCTGAAACTATGAGATTAAACTCAAGATTCTTTTTCAGTATAAACATCTATTATCTATTCATCTACTTTTCACAAAAGACACTCAATATTAAATGAGCCATAGCATATGGTTATGAAAGACAAAGGAGACCTTCCTGTCTGGTTGTAACGTTACCACTTATCTTATTAAGACAGAGTACATACTAAGTTAAGCCATCAGAATTAGGCTAGAAACGTGTCAAAAGAGTATTAATTACAAAATGTAATCTTCCTGTTGACTTTCCACCAACAACAAACACGCATACCACCTGCACATAAACTAAGCATAAAATTCAAGCAAAAACTATAAAGGATAAAAAGGTCAACCAAAATGGTTAATGATATGTCCAAAAAATTGCTGGGTGTATACTATACATCACACACTTCCCGTAACTATTCTTGTTAAGACATAAAAAGCAGGCTACCTAGCCAAGATGTTGCTACCTTCACATGACTTAAAGAGCAGATGTTATTCAAGATATAATTAAATATATAATTTTAGTTAGTAAAGCCAGCTGACAGAATGTGAGTAGTAATTATATTTTCAAGGCAATATCATATTGTATAAAGATTTCCTTTTCTCATGTATTAATTACAAAAAAATACAGTGAATTTGATTATCACAGCAATTTTCTGTGGATTTTTTCCCAAAATGTTTTTTTTCCTTACATTTTTGTGTTAACATGACATGTTTATAATGCTAACTTGCTATATATCACAATAATAAACCTATAGCAATCCTTGTCAATCTGTAAAAGTACAACTTATCTGATGTAGGTGAAGACATGATGATCAGGGAAGTTATGTGCAACTGAAATTGGGCAAATAAGCCACTCTCATGCAAAATATAAAGTATCAAATCTACTGGAAAAAAGCAAATAATATCAATATCAGTTGCCCCTCAAGCAAATATTATATAAAAAGTTTAGTGCTGCAAAAGCTGTGGTTTTGACAGGAGGCAAACACGATTCTGTAAATGACATCTTTTACCTGCACTTTACCCCATAATCTGCATTTCTGACATCCCACACAATTCATAATGCGATAAACCTTATGAAAAACTTGACGGAACTCTTCCTGAAATGGTTAAATGGATTATTATAAGCTGTCAAACAAGTTAAACTGTGAAACAAATTTTCTCCACCATACCTGTGTCTTGCCCCATAACTTGCACTTGTCACACCCTACGCAATCCATTATTACTGATATGTTTCGAAAAAGTTTTCTGAATTCTTCCTGAAATATTTATGTTAAAGAGATGCTAAAAAGACTGTAAGTGTATGCTGATTTTTGATAACATCTGGTGGATGATAAAATTATCCACAATAATTCTATAATTTTTTTATGATACTTCACAAATATTTGATTTAATTGAAAACTATTATAACATCACTTTACAACAGACTCCCAAAATGCAATACTGTAATTTTTTTAGAAAAGCTAGTTGGTCTGTACTATACATTTGCATCTTTGCATCAATGCATTTTTTTTCTGTTTTAGTACATCCAGACCTTAACTTAGATTTAATCTTTCAATCACAGATGATCTGATATATAGTCATTCTTTCCATCTTCAATGACATTCAGATTGTAACCACCATACACATAAAGGTTTCAATTTGGTGAGTTAAGTTTACAAACAGATTTGTACAGTATTATTTGTATCATTTTTGTACAGAAAGCCAAAGGGCTGGTATAAGATTAGCTCCGTCATTTGAAACTTTTCAGTGCCATAGTCACAAGGTATTGTAGCACTTGCAGGATTAAATCAAACTGAGTTGAATTACTGTGGATAATTTTATAGGAAATTATCATTCATAAACTTGTTGCTTTTATATATCCACCAGATATATTAATCATTTTTTCATCATAACAAGCAGAAAATAACTTTCACTGGTTTATTGGTTCTATCTGATATATAAAATGTATTTCATAACCAATAAAATCATATTACAACACTCTTTTCAATAACATTTTCTTTTAGGAATTGATACTGAAACATTTAAACATCTATCATTCCTTTGCATTTATTTGTAAATATACCAACCAACCTTTAACTGTTGGGCTTCCTTATTATTTCCTTGGAAAAGTCTACTTTCATCAAACTGATCTGGGAATGACCTAATAAATAAATAAATAAATAAATAAATATTTCAACTGAAAATTTCTTGCGACAAGTTAAACGCACTTCATGCTTTTCTTTTAATCAAATCAATCATTCATTAGATAGTAAAGATAACTCTACAGGGCTCTATATGCACTTCCCTTTCATATAACGTGAATGCCAAGTGCCACTTTTTGATTCAAATTAGCATACCCTTTAAGATATCTAGAAAAATATTAACAGTTCTTCTCCAAACAGTTCTCCAAACTTAAATTTTAAATATGAAAGATGAGCATACTTGATAATCTTGAGAAGATCTTTAACAGCATTTCTGGTTTCATTGTCTTCTTTTTCATCACCAGTGAAGAAATCTTCCTGAAAAACCAAAACAGTATAAGACAATAATCCTACCTCAAAGTCTATGCTACACACATGTATCTCTCATGATATACAATGGGATATAAGAACCACTCATTTCTAGCAATTGTGAAAACCATCAATCCATTCCTTGTCTCTCTGGTTATTTGTGGTTTGTGCATTTTTCCCTATTTCAGATATCTATTAAACTAAATTCATTAATTAATAGATTAATATCATAATGTGTTTGATTTACATACCATACAAGCATATATTTTGAATAATCAGATTATTAAATAAAATTAACTACATAAACCTATGAATACGGTCCTTCCAATAACAAGGATTATCTTTTATTTACTTCACTTTACTATATAACATATTTTTTCTTCTTTTGTGTTGCACGAGTCTGACCTGTTCTAGATATGGAGCAGCTTTTGCCAAGGCACGAAGTTCCACCAAGTATGTAAAATACAAATTCTTTAATCTCTGTGGGCCTTCTCCATTAGTTGTCTCTGGGTCAAAACGCTTCTGAAATTCTTCTACATTTGGACCCCATGTTCCTTTGCCATAACCATTTGCAGCTAGTAATACAAAGAAAATATTCATGTGAGAGTAAACTGAGCATCCTATTGGCAATCAAAACTCTTAAAATGGATTCTGATTGGATGTTTTTATTATACCAAGATGGTGGGAAAACCTTCAGTTTTCATTTTCATAAAATTCAATATCCTTTAAACCCAGTACTGGCTTACATGCTTCATCTTGTAATGATTTTTATTACAACTAATTAATGAAAAATAAATAATATAAGCAAGAAACATTTCACACAATGCTTATCAACCACACACCTTACTGTAATTATATTTTTAAAAAATGAAAAAAAAATAATAATAAATAAAATTAATTATAAATAAAATAGTATCATAAATGCCAACGATGCCTTACAACCAGCTAGCAGAATATAACAATTTTGTTTTGAGAGCACAGGATATGTAAGGGGGAAAACAACTGAGATAAAAATATCTTCTACAACTCACCAGGCAAATAATTTTTGGCAGAGAGGTGGACATTTATGCTGGTGTGCAGTCCAGAGATCATGCGGAAGAACACCCTCTTCTCAAGACACATCCCTTGAAAGTAAAAAAAAAAAAAAATTATATGTATGAAAAAAAAAATACATTTTATTTAAGAGGTGTATGTTGGGATCAGCAGCCATAATCTTGTTAGATTTTACAATTTTGTTTAAGTAATCCATGTCCTTAGAAGTGGGTCCAAACCAAATAGAGTAAATTTAAGTGTTTACATAATTAACTACAACTTTTTTGTAAAGCAAATTAAATTAAAAATCACATTACGAATTTAGCCACAAATAATAAATCTATCCAAAAATTGCTCACTCATTTTATTCTTATCTCACCATCCCAAACCTCCCTCCCAAAAATGAATAAAAAATACACATCAAAAAAAAAAAAAAAATAAAATAAAATAAAATAAAATAAAATAAAAATAACATGAAAGAGTTCATTTATACAATTTAGAATCAACAAAACACTTCTTTTTGAAAAAAAAAGACAGAACAATCCAAGTTCACTGAAGGGTTACACCAAAAACACCATAAACAAATTAATATCACCAGGAGACATTTAAAAAAAGGTTTAGCTTCAAGAAATCTAAATTAAATATAAAGATCTCCCATATGCCAACATTACTGATGCAATATAATTTCACAAAGACATGGGTATACATTTAAAACTCAAATCAAGTAAATTTTGTGGAAAAAAAATTAAGCTTACATATCTCATCTGAGAAAAGCTTCACAAAAGTTATGAAGTCACAAGCAACATCTATGTAATATTATACAATTGTTCAGATATATGCTAAAAAGGGTGGGCTTTTTATGAAGCATTTCCCAAATGTATGTAGTACACAGGACCCAGTTTCACAATGCAAGTACTTCTAGCAAAAAGGTCTACTTCAATCCGGAATATTTTTGCAGTAGTCCACAAGTTACAAAAAATGAATCATCAATCTAAAACATCATACAATCATTCTCACATTTTGAAAAACTGGCCCAATATTCTCAATTGATTGGAAATATGATTATCTTGTGTAACAGAAGCAGACTAAAACATTCTGTTTTGAAGTTAAGACCACCTTTTGACTTTGGTTCTTTAGCAAAACCAGCCCCCAGACACAAACCATCAAAAGAGATGCCACACCCACTGTTCTAATAACCTGTTACCTTTTAAGGATCCTACTGGGGTAAAGACAAAGCAAGGTTGTGATAAATAGTAACTGTCTACTCTATGCATTATGAACATTAAGCAAGCCTTTCAGTAGCTATACATACGTTATTGTCAGTTAGAGAATACAATATGCTCATAAAGATAAGAGTTAATAAAAGCAACAGTTCATAGTTGAACAACTAAATTCAAAATGCCATAAAATACTTCTCTATCAAATTGTATAAAGTTGTGGATATTATTCATTTAATATACTTTAAGGCAAAATATTTACATAGACAGTGAGACTGACACACACACACACACAGAGTCATTCACTTTAAAAAATAAAAGATACAAATTCAAAAGTATGATGGTTGGTTATATAGATTTTATATCATTCTTGAAAGTTTTTGCAATTTTCATGTCAACACAAGGAATGTTTTTTTAAGTAAATGTAAATGAAATAAACATGGGGTATTCAGTACATCAAAATTACTTATTACTTTCATTCATAGCTGATACTTCAAAATGACAAAAATACAATTTGACACTGACTGAGGAGAGACTGTACAGTATGTCAGATGGCCACAATAACTCTGACAATGATCACAAAATGGCAATGACATAGACAGATTGGTGATAGTATATATATATATACTATCACAAAATGGCAATGACATAGACAGATTGGTGATAGTATATATATATACCGACACTGTGTCTGTATATAAAAATAAAGGAAATGGGAGCCTAGATCAATATCTAAAGTCTAATCTGACTTTTCATAAATTGCTGAAATGATGAGCTTAAGTCCTTATATCAAGCTGTTTTTATCTCCAGTTTTTATGTCAGTAGAGTTTTATCATGAGATGCCTAAACATAAACATGCACAAAATAATTAAGTTATACACACTATAAACATTTGAATAAACAAACAAGAAGTTATACTTGGAAAATAGATAAATAATTTTCTATATGAAATGTTAGTGCACGTCACAAAATATTAAAATACTAGACTAACAAAAAACAAAAGCACAAAAAAGAAAAAAAATACTGTAGGGATTTGACTGCTTTTTTTATAAATTCATTTATAAAAGAGACAGCAATCTACAAAAGAGCAACTTGAATATGGGACTTCTATACAGTATGCACACTCATCAAATACAAAAATATATACTGTGGTAACCTCATCAAAATACAAAATAAACATAAAATAAATAGTATTACTTGGTATTTTGAATAGGCTACACGACCTTACTCATTAAATCAAGACCACTTTGTAAAGCTTTACCTTCAGCTCCTACATAAAAAATACATAAAAACCAAGAAATAAACATTAACAATAAAAACAATGTAGCTGATACAAACTTATCTGAAAGTGAAATCAAATAATAATATGAAACAAGTAAGGTAATTTACTAACTGAATAACAGATGTGCAAATCCTAGGTATCCTGTTTCCATAGACCTCTGTAAACTGTAGATTTTATGTGCAAAGCAAATGCTTATCAAATCCCATACCACATTAAAATGGGTCTAAACACAGGCCTACTACCGGTGAACTATACAGCAAATACGCATACCAGTATTATTAGCATAACTGCAATGGCCAAACTGCTTTTTAGGGATTTTAGGCGTTAAATGCTCTCTGGGGCAAATTCAGTAAAGCAAGGATTCAAATAATTATTAATATTATCAGCAAATATTAAAATTAGCATAGTTATCAAAGGCTTTTCTATACCCTTTACATACCTCTGGCTTCAGCTGGCCCATACCCAGGGACAGGCGTGTCAGGCCTACCGAGAAAAAAAATACTTGTAACCAAATGATTCAAATTAGTGCCTTCACTTTTATTTCCTGTAATATCAACCACTCATTAAATGATCACAGAATAAGAAAAAAACTCTGCAATAGAGATTATAGGGAGAATATACTGATTTGAAATACCCAGGATCCATTCTTACTTAAAGCAATTCTCTTGATAAATTGTCCTCCAAATCCTCCAAGCAGACTCCCCTTTGTAACCCGTGTACCTCTCAGGGTTCAAGGTCAGGTCAACATATTCCATGTCAGCTGAATTGTCATCTGGGAAAATAATAAAAATCATATTTGCCCAATTTCCATTAAATTATATACTTTCATTAATTGTTTGACATAGGATGTACACAAACCTGTTCCAAATTTGAAATAATTTCTCAACAGTCAATTTAACAATTAAATCATCTCAATCGCACAGAAAATGACTTATGTAAATCAATACATTTTTATATTAAATTATGAAATTAACTAAGAAATATGTCTTTATAATCACAACCATGTCAAAATGTCTCAAAACTGGGGCATAATCTGTTTGTTTATCTTACCATCCAGCTCACAGAAATTGTCTTGAGCATCGTCATACTTTGACCAGCTTTTAAAGGATTCCCTGTCTTCAGAACTGGGAAGAAGAAATATGCCCGATATTAGTGTTACTTATCCAGATGAAAATCGAGCATCAATATTTTGACAGTACTTTAATGAATTAAAAATAATGCAGTGTCAAGAGTCTGTGTCAGGTGTGATGAAAAAAGATAGATGTATGTCATACCTGATTGTTTTATCAATACCTCCCAGCTCCTTCTGCTCCTTGCAGTCTGTATGGAGCTGTTCTTGAGCCTCTTTTGTATACTGAAATTTAAGTGATATTTTGACAATTATCTTGTGCTTTTATCTCAGGGAAAAGTGCTAAAATTTCCAAGTTGATATTTTTTTATATACAAAGATTAAATGCTCACTGGATGCTTGTATAGTTACCTTGTTTTCTTCTTGCTTTGATTCCTTATAGCCAGGTGGTAACTGGTCCTGTAAAAAAATAGATGGTTTAATTAAGACACAAGATTATACTATCTGCTACTAAAAGTTAAATTAAATTAAATTAAATTAAATTAAAAATGAGAATTCTTTGAAGCAACATTGCATGTATATTACTCTTGTATACAACCACAACATTTCTTTCCAATTTGACAGCAGCTATTGTATTCTAATTTATGTAGGTATTGAGACTGAACAAAAACATAAATGCCAAACAAATATCCCAATATAAAAATTATGTGATCTGTTGGTTATTGAAACATTTTGACCATTTTGTATTGTTTGTATACCAGTAATTACTGACTAGAAGTACTCTTTTGCTCTATGGTAATATTGTACATTAGACTGATTGAATTTTATTAAAAAAAAAAAAACTCATTTCTGTAGAATTAAAAGTATTGGTCTGTACTGACCAATTAAAATTCACTACAATGTTGGCTGTGTGGCACATTTTCTAGTCAATGGCTATGACAATTTAGTCACCTTTTGTGTTTACCAACGCCACAATATACACAGACCTCCTACCAGCTTTGATGTGTGCCACCTTCTTTATTTTCACTAAAGCATATTCATAAAAATTTCATGGTTTCTAGAAAGTACAACAGCAGGTGCCATAGTAAATAGACTGGGCCCCTGTTTCAACATTGCCAGACAGCACTACCCAGCCTTGATGAGACAGCTTTAACAAAGTCAAAGATGTAATTGGCGCAAAAAACTTCAATCGTGCACCGTTGACGTTCAAAAATGACCACTGACATACATGGAATTTTGAATTCGAAGAAGCTGGCCTTCACTAGCTCTAAAACTCTGGTAACATGGGCGTAACTAGGCATACGCACGGATGCACTGTGCGTACAATTTTTTTGGCCAACCATGATATTATTTTATAAAAATTTAGTGTATTTTTCACGGAATATAAAAGAAAATCCTCTGCTTATTAAAGTCACCTGTATGTACAAATCCTCTGTATCAATTGTATAGGCACAATTGTTCTGACCCCCCCTCCCCCCGTCTTGCAAACTGAGGTAAACAATGCCTGTAACCTTAACAAGTCCTATCTTAATCGTCCATCTAACTGGAACTTCCTTTACCTCTTAAGTGGAGGGTTCAGTTGCCCTCAACTCTTCTGTACCCTCTTTCTTGAGAATATCGTACGCATTCTCGCTGGCAATATTTATCTCAGGTAAAAATCTGCCTGAGTGTTATTTTCAAAGAGCAGCTCTCGCAACCCTGGGGGCACTAGATTAAATCTGGACACCAGGTTTAAGAAGGAGCTAGAGAAACAAAGGAAGAATTTTTCCTGCAAAGCTTCAAAGAATTTTGAAACGGACTTGACCCAGCTTACCCCTCCAAAAGTAACAGGGTGACTTGGGCAATTTTTACAAACAAATAATTAAACTTAGATGTGTCAGAGCTCTGTCGTGTCGTACAATTGGTTGTTTTTGGGAGCCATGCATCCGCATGTAAGGCGAATGAAACCATATGTTAGTTCAACTCAGAGGTGGATCCAGGATTATTCGAAGGGGGTTCCACATATATGCGAAGTTAGCCTCCTTTTAAATAAATATACCGTTCTGGGTAGTAAGAATACTGAAACTCTTTTAATTGCGAGAATATTTCTGACTTAATGGAAATTAAGCTGCAATGTGTGGTACATATGCTGTAATTACGCTGTCCTTCATCTCTTGCGTTAGTCTACATTTTGCTGGGAATTTTAAAAATCTGTGCGTACAATTTTTAAAGGTCTGGTTACGCCCCTGGGTAATGTAACATAGTAAAGTTCTCACCTCAGAACACTTGTCTACATGGCAGTCTCTCAAGGCACACCTACCATCATCACCCCAGAATGGACATGGTCTTTTTAAATTTACCTAAAATGAAAATTACACACCTCTTGATAAATTGGGTATAATAATAATAATAATAATAACAATAACAACAACAACAATAGCAATAATAACAATAGCATCCACGTATGATAATAATAATAATAATAATGATGATAAAAGGTATGTTGGAAAACTTATTCATGAATCCGAGTGAGTTTCATAAAATAAGGCAAGCCAAAAAATTAAACAAGTCTAACATTTTAAGATTCAGTAACAATTAATAGTACAGTAGTTCGCTTAAAAAAATATTTTTCTGAAACTTGGGTACAACTAACTTGTTATAAAACAGGTACAATATTTAATTCAAAGTGGACTACTACTGCTTAATTAGGGTCAAAGTCATTTAACTTGTCTTTAAGCTTACACCACTTTTCGAGCTACAACTGTTTTGTGAAACAGGCCCCAGAAACATGAATTAACAATACTAACAATGGCCTTTGTTTTTCAGATTTTATCTTCATTAGATTAGTAATAAAAATTCTGAATATCTCTCTGAAAGTAGTCATACAATACCATGCCTGCTGAACTTATCTAAACTATCTTTTGAATAATATGGAAGTACTTTATGGTGTGACTAATTGTGCCATTTGTTCCATGACAGACAGTAATAAATCACTGCTAGGCCACACAATACTTCTTACCTGTTGCTGCTACCTATTAAAGTGACCGCAGGGTATTTTGAAGAATCAAACATTTTGAAGAATCATTCTGAACCAAATTGATTGGCAGTCTAGTTGAAATTTAAAATGGTAACAGAAGTAAAATAGGATGTATTCCCTTTTTCTTTCTGAAAGTCTTTGACTCACCTTGAAGAATCTAAAATAATCTTTATTTAGAAGGCTGTGGAGTCTGGGGAAAATCTTCAGATTATTAAAAGAATCCAAGCTTTCTATTTTACATGAGCAGTCATCTACTTCTCCTTTTAACTGAAAATATAATGTTTGTAATTTGTTCAGTTTTCAATGAATGTATTGAAATTAAATGGAGAATTGAATGTAAAAAAGTAAAGTCATTAAAGATTAATTTACCTGTACAGATCAAATTAATAGATTAATTTTATTTCACTTAACTGAAAACACAAAATAATGCCTCCGTGATATATATAATTACATTTTTTCTTTATTTTTTTCATCCATAAAATTAGGTAAATTATCTGTTAATAATACAATGAATATAATAAACCAAACTGAAAATGCAAAGCGTTCATAAAAAGAAATTCTCATAACTGAAATTCCCGGAAAAATTAATAATAGAATAAATATTCTGAAAAATCCATATCCAGACTGCAAGTGCAAAGTATAAAAAATATATATATAAAGTGCCCTGATAAAGCAGATAAAGCAGAATCTTGAATATTATCTATTTGGGTCATTTCCCACAATCTTTCAACTATTGTTAGGCTAAAAATGTTACGATCAATAAATCAGTCTGGTCACCTGTCACCCCTAATAACAATTGTTTCACCTTCTGTTATCAGGTTTGAAACAAAAATTAAATATAGTTGTGCCCATCTCCATAATGCAATTAAAACAAAGCATTTACTTACAGGAATCTAATGAGTGCATCATGTATTTTATATAAAAAGATTAATCACATAAATGTTCATGCTAAACAAACAAACAAAAGCAACAAAGGAACATGTTTATTAATAAAAACATAAAAACATAAATTCTACAGCAGCATAGAGTGGGCAGAATAATCCTTTCAACCCGAGTTTCATAGCCGACATGGACACTGCGCTTGTTTCAATGCATGCCCACTTGTTATTTCTGAGCTTTAGTAGCAGTTGTTTGGAATTTACCGTGCAAATCAAAAATGTTAGGGACTTGTATCAACTTTGTCACATGACTTTTTCAAAACCACAAAATCTGGATAAGCTGGATAACTGGGAGAGCCTCTGAGATTGGCTTGACAACCTTTAATATGTTTACTAGTACATGTATTATCAAATCTACTTCCCATTTCTAATTTCAGACACTGAAAACAATAAAAAGCATCTGCAGTCAATATTTATTTCTGTGCAGGAAGACAAGGTGGTCTAATATACTGGTAAGTTATTTAGAATTAAATTATTTCATCAAAAATGCAATAAAACATCTAAATCACGTGCAACGTGCAGGGAGGGGTTGAGCAATGGTTTTTGAGTAAAAGAAATATATACATAGTTTTTTTTAAAAGGGAATTCTGATTTGGTGGGAAAATCTTGCAAAAGATACCTTTAACAGAAAACAACCAGAAAAATATCCCTGGAAAAATTCTGTCAGCTTTTATGTGTTGCTGCACTGCAATCACTACTCTGCTATTATTTCTAACCCCACTCTCTCCACATCCTGCAAAATCTTCCCTTGAGTCGACTTCGGACTCTTGA